GCCTGATATATTTTTACCATACCCTACACAAGGCCTCCAGGACTCCTCCTTTACCCGTTTGCTTGGGTCATGGAGATCCTGCACTGTGCCCCTTCCAGCCTCGACAATTGCACAGATCCACATATTCACAGACTGCTGGGCCACTGCTCAAGACCCGGTAGCCTGGTCTGGGCAGTGGCTAAGGAACAATTTTCTCAGACAAGGCAAGGCTATCTGGAGCGTCCACACAGGGAAAATAGCAAAATCCCCAATTCCTATTGTTGTTACTCACGTGTCCACCGACACTAAACACCTTACACAGGAGCCATTTTCTACAAAGTGACAGATCCCTTCACTAAGATGAGAAGTGGGAGAGCAATGACTCCCGGGGCTTTGCCTTGAGCCAAATTGGCATCATTAATGAGCCTGGAAGCACTGGGAAGCCAAGCGTTGCAAAGGGCGAACATATCAAGGTCTGTATTTTGAACAGTGTGACTCTGAGATGTTAATTAGACCTCATTAGGATGGAGAACTGAAAGCTGGGAAACTGGCTGCTTAGGCCAAGGAGAGCAGAAGTGAGAGATACCAGGAAGGAGGTATCTGAAAGCCTGAGAGAGAAAAGGGCGAAGAGGGATGGCATAAGGGGCTCAGCTGGGGAGGCCAAGTTGGAGACACTGAAGCTAAGCTTAGAAAGGCGCCAAATGAGGCCTTGTCCCAGGATGTAACTCAGGAAGCACTGACTCAGACTCACCGAGGAGGTCGAGGCATGTGTTACAAGTGACGCATATATACAGATGCCTTATAGTCGCCAACCCCATGACCCCAGAGGGTGGGGGACTTTTCCTTAAAGGCAGGCCTGGGTCCTGACCCCTGTGTTCACATAGAAGAGGAGCAGAGTGAAATGTCCCCAGAGTGAAACCGTCCCATGCCCCCCCTTTGGGCAATTAAACCAGAGGAAAAAAAACCAACAAGAGGAGTCATTTATGCCCAGTTTTTTCTTTTAATACCAACTTTATTGAGAGATAACTTACATACAATAAAACTTAATCATTTTAAGGATAGTTTTGAGTCCTGAAAAATGAACACACTGCTATAAACACCACCATAACGAAGACATTGACCATTCCCGTTCTCCCTACAAGTTCCCTCGGTGTCTTTGTGGGAGAGTCCTCACATCCCCACCCCCAGTGCCAGGCAATCGCTGACAGGATTTCTGTCACGTTACCTGAGTTTAGCCTGTTCTGAATTGGGGTTTTGGAAGCAGGCCTGGAGCCCGAGGAACCCAGGTTGGCTCTTTCTTGATTCTGGTCTTTGGGAAGGAAAGAATTCAACGTCGAGACCAAGGTCACAGAAAAGTAAGAGGTTTATTGACAGATAAGCAGAAGGACAGGAAAGCTCTCTGAACAGAGAAGGGTCCCAAGTGGGTACCGCTAAGGGGCCAAAAAGCAGTAGTTTATAGAGGTATTGTGGGCAAGAAGTGGGGTTCAGCGGTCAGGTGCTGATCGGCATCTCCTAGGTTACTGAGGCCCACTGAGTGTCCCACGTTGCTGGACTTGCCTTTCCCAAGCTAGCTGTGGTCTGTCGCTTTAACACTGTGTTACTGTGTTGATGTTCTGAACATTCCACTCTTTACTGGGTTGGGGGAGGCACCCCAACTTCCATCGATTGTTTCTCTTTAATAGATGGGTTTAGGACTCCTGGTCTCAGGTGGGGCGCCCTCCTGGCTCCCATTAATTGTTTAGATTGATAACCGGGCTTAGGGTGCACTGTTCCTAACTTCATTCAGTTCTAGTGTTTCATATAAATAAAACCTCTTTATTTGGTAGAACGTTACCGATATCAATAGTTTTACTTTTTATTGTTGATTGACACCAAGATTTGCTCATCCACTTATCTGTACACGGGCATTCGGGTTATTGCAAGTTTTTTACTCTTTAAGAGCCTTTTACTCTTTACTCCTTTAAGAGCCTGCCAGTTTTTGCTTTTAATCTCAATAGACCAAACCCACCTGCTCTTACGGGCGGGGAGCAGAGGGCTGGCTATGGACAGAGCGCAGTGTTTCCCACATGTGTCGTCAGAACGCTCACGAGCGCTTATGAAGCGCAGAAGCTGCTATCAACCCTCAGAGTATCTGATTCAGTAAACTGGGTTGGGTCAAGAATTTGCACTTCTAACAAGTCATGCTGATGCTGCTGTTCTGGGGACCACCCTGAGAACCACTGGTCTGGGGGTGACTTCTTGAGCAATCAGGAGCTGAAGTGGCATCTCCACGGGGCTGCACTCACCACACCTAAATTTTAAGCCCAAATGGCCAGTCCCTCTATACTCAGATGTCTCAGAGGCTTGTCAAAATCACTCATTACCTTGAGTGAATTGGGGCACAACTTACCCCCAAATCTGATTCATTCCTGGTGTTCCCACTTAATTGAACCTCAAGTTTGATCAGACAAGTCAGAAATCTGAAAGCCATCTTTGACATATCTCCCCTTCTCTCTACCTCTCATATCTAGTCCATTACTCCATTGCTTCTGAAGTATCTTTAGAATCCAGCTACTTTTCTCCATCTCCAGTGGCATAATTACAGACCCAACTTCTATCATTTGTGTAAACTGCTGCAGGCATCCCAGTGCCTTCTCAGCAACCTCTCTGGTCCTTCTCGCCTCCTTTCCCCATACTAAATTCTGTGAATTCTTCCCCTCCCTAAACACAAACTGGTCATACAATCCTTTGCTTCAACCACTTCAATTGCTCCCCACTTTGCATTGCTCCTTTAATAAACTCTTCAAGACCCAGCTTGGCCTGCCCCCCCCCCACATCTGCCCTAGGCACCCTGACCTTCACTCTGCAGCAGCTGTGATCTTCTCTTGCCCTCCTTGGTCCCACCTACCCCCAGCACCCCCACGCCCCAATTCCCAGCTCTCAGTGACACTTCATCTGGGAAGCCTTCTCGACCACTGGACCCAGGTCAGCTCTATTATTTGCTCTCAGAGCTGGGCATGCCTTCCCTTCTCAGCGATCTCAGTTTAGATTTGGTGTTCATTATCAGTGGCCATTGGATTAAAACCTATCATCTCACACCAGATTCCAGGCACCATGAGAACAGGAACTACATCTGGTTTTGCTCTCCTTCTTCCCTCTCCACCTGACAAAATAAATGGTTGTGAGTGCTCAAAAAAAATTGGGAACCATAGGAATAGGAACCACAGGATTTCAGCAGAAAGGGATATTTAGAAGCCATCTGCTTTCTGTCACTTTAGTAAGGAAATGGAGGCCTGGGGAGGTGGGAGGTTAGAGGGGTTCCATTACGCATGGTCACACAGGAAGACCTCGAGTGCTTAAGTCCCAGTCTCTTTCTCCCTCAAACTATTTGTTTGTTCATTTAATATAAATACTCTGCTATTATTCTGCCCTGCTGCTTTCTTAAAGTGAAAAATAAAAGCTTTCTGTCCTTTCTGAGTCATCCAATCACAAAACATTAAACCATTGGTGGCAGATGAAATGGCGCAGATAGAGAAAAGGGGGGGATAATGTTAAAGACATGCTCCTCCTCACCCCCATCAACTTGCAGCAGTGGTTGGTGCCTTGTGGCATCATGGTCCCCTCACTTCCCTGTCTCCTAATCAGCCACCTGCCCACAATCAGTAAGAGGAAGATTAACACAAACTTACTCCCTGGGAGCTGTGAACTCTTCCAAGTTGCGAACCCCACTTTCCCCGACTGCAGAAGGCAATCATTTTCTGCGCTTAGACCACAGTCTGATGATCACAAGTGGCTTACTCCTTTTCTCCAGAGGCTTTTTCTTCCTGAGGAAATGTTTCTTTTGTGCGGGAGCCCCCTGGTGGTCATTAGGAAAAAAATCCCTGGAGAGGGAGAAATTTGCTTGTGGTAAGAATTCTCAGTGCTTGGTATTTCTTTCCCTTGTGTCCACAAGCCATTTCCAGAATCAGCCATTCAGTGTAAACCAGGGAGACTATAAACCATTGGAAGAAGAAGGCTGTAATGCATCAGTGCGCTCTGTGGTCAGGCTTAAGATTTGCTGGCCCTTCTTGCTATATCACTGTGATTGACGATGCGGCCTGAGGCTGTAGCCTATGAATCTGGCCTGAGGTGTGCCACCGGGCCATCCTCATTTGCTGTTCAGAAGCAGGTACTCTCTGTGGTAGAAATGCTGAGGTGTATATAGTATTTTGCAATTGACTTATATGGTATGTTGTTATCCAGATAAGAGAGAGAGAGAGAGAGAGAGAGAGAGAGAGAGAGAGAGAGAGTGAGAGAGAGTGTGTGTGTGTGTGTGTATAATAGTAGGGTAAGGGACAGGTGTGAGCTCTGTGCCAGCATAATCTGTGGCAGGTGGAAAGCTGAGACCAGACAAGTGAAGAAGGGAAGGTGGTGGAACAGAGGCACAAGCTGGGCCTTGGCTGATTACAGACCAGTTGGGTTTGAGACAATCGTTAGAAGAGCAGGGCTGGTGAGTGAGAGTGGAGGACATACCTAGAGCACTTGCAAATGCCCAGAGTGTCTTGTCAAGCAGGAGAGGCTAAGCACTTGGAGTCACTGGTGGCGGGAGGGTGGAGGCCAGGTAAGCAGAAGAGAGGCTGACAGCAGGCTCCAGGGACCCAGAGCTGAGCAGCTCAAGTTCCAACAAAGGAAACAGGACCTGATTCCTTGAACTTTTTTTTCCTCAAAGGTTAATATCTATTCCTGTTTTTTTTTTAAATGAATGAAAATTTTTTGATATGCCCTTATTTTATTAGCTGTTTTAATCATACTAAGTTTTGTGGGGTTTTTTTCTCTGCATATAAAAACCTTTAAAAGCAAAAATCAAAGCTGAGGTGTATACAGTTTTGTGGTTTTAAAAGCTAGTTTAAAACATTAGGAAATATGTTTGAAAAAGTTAAAAATCACAGATATCAAGATTAATAGTCACTTTTTGATGGAAATCCCATGCCATCTGCCTGCACTATTACATATACCATTACCTGGACATTCACACTCCACCAGGGCATGATAAATACAAAAGAATGAGGGATTTTTGAAACCACATTTAATTTTAATACAAAATCTGTTGCACTATTACCGAAGTGACCCCTTCATGCACAGATAATTTAGCATCTACCATATGGAAGAGTAAAACTGTGGTTTTATTGTTACCCTAAAACACTGGCAAATATAAAGTAACTTTTATCTCTGTGCTCTCTGACGCCAAAGCAAGCCTGTTTTGTATATTTCTATTCCAATAGAAAGGTTGACCTGTGAGAAGCAAATACGGAGACATGAAAGGATTGAGGGCCATCTTTACTTGGGATTACTTCACACTGTGCTTTATCGAAATGACCTAATGACTAGGCCCTTGTGCTGAATAGGCAAATCTCAGAAGAGTTCATCTAGAAACCTGCATCAATATGTAGAATAGTTCACTATTTCAGTTTCACAGCAAAAAGGGGGAAAATATTCAAAAGGTAGTTAAGCAGACACTTCCCAATCCCGTGCACTGCAGTAATTAGCTTACTTCTTATACGGTACAACATACACACTGCATGTTTATTTGTATGTAACACCTATAAGCATATAGCATCTACACTTTAAGTATATTTACAAATTCAACAAAATATCTACATATAAAAGGCTTTACTTAAAATTAAACTTGATGCAAGTTATGAGAAACCAATTTATTGGCAAATGAAACTGAGCATTCCTTCAACCATAGGTTGTTATAGAATTTCATACTTGGAGGTAAACCATGTTAGATATTGTTTACGAATATAATAGAATATATGTGTTTATTTTTGGAACTGCAGATATAATCCTTCAACTGTTGGCCTTGTTAGCACTTGTCAGATTTCTTAGATTCTGAAATGGGTATATAGCAATGTGCATATACATTATTTAATGCTGCAGAGTTTCAAAAGCTGCCACATAAGTAAGACTTTGAGAATAAATTGGCATGCTTTTACATGTTTTTTGTTTTAGAATAATTTGTTTCTTGAAAAAAATTTTCTATCAAGTTGACATCTTTCTTATTTATTGTAACTTATTTTAACAGAAACCTTAAGAGACCACAAAATCATCATGCACTTCAATTGGTGATAAAGCTTTTCTTTTTATACATATGGGAAAAATGCTCCTTAAAGTGAAATGTCTTATTAATTTTATTTTCACATTTCCTTTTTTTTCAGCATTGCAGTTTTCCTTATCTCTGCTTTTTAAAAGTTACTTTTAGACAATGACAGTAATGTAGACTCTGTGTTGACTGCGGAAGGCAGTGTGTTATAGAATGCCGATCATCTGAAGGCACTGCATGTGTCTTGCCCTGTGCTTTCCGGAATAATGTTTTAAATTTCATTTGAATCATTTGTTTTTAATTCTTTCAGGATGGCACAAGTGTCCAAATGCATTGCAATACACATCATTTATGCCTAAAAACAACTGAACATAGAGGTGATGCAAAAAGTAGAACACTGTACTGCTGTAATACCTGGAAGATTAAGAAGGTTGTGAAGTAACAGGAGCGAAGAGCAGGTGACAGAGTCTCAGTAAGCATCAGCAAATGCAACTGTCATAATGAACTCATTTAAGCAAGTATATACTGTACATACTGTTCCTAACAGTCTCCCAAAAAGACTAACAACAGCTAGACATAGAGTCACCAATTTCACAACAATGTCCACAAAGACATTGAAGTCCTAGAGAATACTACAGTAACACTCTTGACAATGAAAACAGAATTCATATTTAGGGGTTCAGCTGAAGACAGTATAAACAAGGTATCAAATCATGTTTTAATAACATACACTGGTATGTCCTTTAAATGTGTAGCATTTTCATGCATCATATTAAACTGTATCTTGAAGAGGAAATAACATGATCTGTTGATGAGGTTACATTTTTTTTTATCAGTTCTGAACAAATCAAGAATACCTAGTTTGGATGACAAAGGATGCAGAACTTCGCACTGCAGTTCATATCAACATATATCATTTGACTGAGTTATGATCTTGCTCTAACTGTTCTCATAATATTAACACGCAGCAGAAAATAGACTTTCTGCCTTTATGTTCATAATATGAGAAGGCTGGCAAGCAAGTACTTACAGTTTCTAGAGAAATGGGCTATTGGCAAAGAACTTAAAATTAAACAAAGGAATTCATAGCGTTGACAGGAGAAGGTGCCTCTGAGCTTTCATTTCCTTCAGCCGGCTCTTTCTCTTTCTTACCACTGTATTGTCCAATAAAGGAGCCGTCCTCATTGAACTGGCCATTCACTCCCTCTCCATAGTCAACTAGGCTATCATCACTATCTTCTTTTTTCACAGTCCTGTCTGAAGGTGTTCGACTGCCTTTTTTCAAAGGCTTGTGGTCTTCTGCATCACTGGGGAAAAAAAAATACTTTCATCAAGACTGGCATTTAAGTGAAATGTTCTGTAAGATCATGCATGCAAACTAAGATTAAGTAAATGGAGTCCTGAGCTTCTACCAATCTACTCTTCAGGTTGACTCCACGGACTGGGATGTAGTTGGAATGAAAATCAGGTGCAGAAATGGTTTAATCATGAAGTCTTCAACAGAATGGCTTCTTATTATATGTCAATATCAATGACAGATTCTGACTCCTGACTTGGAAACAATTCAGAAATAATCACAAGCATTAAAAAAAGGAAGAGTGGAGAAAAGTTGAAAATCATCACCATTTTGAATCAAGAGGGGGTAAAAGCTGATGGCAAGTAAAGGAGTTAGTATGTTAAACTGCGTAATATCTCTGATTCCTTGGATATGAATGGAGAATGACTTGGGTTAAGTGTGAAATATGGATTTTTTTCCTGTGCAAGAGGGAGAAAGCAAAATCCTGCATTTCAAATAATTGTGTTTTTATGTGCAGGTCAGATTTGAAAACTTTAACCTTACCTTTCAAGAGACCTACAAATCCCATTAAAAGGATGCAGAAGAAACAAATGAAAATAGCCTAAGAAGAAAAGCAAAATCCTTATACTGATAGTATACAGTATTTTTTTTTTTTTGGCAAGAATTTTAATTAATGGGTAAAAACTTATTAATTTGGAAAGACACAATTTAACTTAAACTCACTATGTTTGTACATTAATAGCAGTTAAATATATTCTGAGGAGTGTGAGTGATTCCAAAACTGCAAAAGCAAACATTTCCTATACCCATCTTTACCCCTCTCCTCCCTTCTCACATGTATTATGCACTCTACTCCATGTTGGGTGGGAATGTAAGAAATATAATTTAATAAAACTTTATAGGATACATTTTATTTCTTATTTCTCTGTCGAGCCCCTAACTACAATATCTGAAGTAATCATATTTTACATCTACCCATGTGGTTATGTAACTAGGTATGTAAACTGACCTATAGCTTAGTAGGTAATGTGGTTAAAAACTAGGGAAAAAAAGGCAATGGCATCTTTTTTCTTTCAAAGAACAAAAATGCAAGGCAAAATAGGAAACACAGTATCAGCAAAAAATAAAAAGACTTAAACATAAAGGTCTCATTAGCTGCAGTGTTTCCTCTAGCAGTTGGTGCTAGTGCTTTATTGCTCCTTGTTTCTGAGAGTGACATTTTTCTAGCCAACATACAAATATTAACAAGATACACTAATATTCTGTCTCTTTGGCCAACAATTCCTACTAGGGGTTTCAATTTCTCGCCAAAAAAGGAATATCTCAAGACCAGAAAACAATACTATCTTAAAAGGACAGTGGAATGTGCTATTGAAAATTATTTGCTTCAACAACCTTCATGTTCTGGTCACAAACTTCATAAACGACTATTGTCATTGCTAATAAACACTGGGAAGTGTCACAGACCTTGCAGTAGCCTATGTTAGAGGCAGGGGACACAGCATCCAGTCTTCAATCTGCTGTAAGAATAACTTGCATATATTTGGGATTTAATCCTTGGATTGCTCATGGATTGGTGAGACACTTAATTTCATTGAAGAGTTCCATCATGAGCAGAATTCTGTTACCTGGATTCCAACTTTTAGTCTTATTTTGCTTTATAGAACTAGTCTTCCAATGAATGCACTACAAGAAACTCTAGCTTGTTCTTTGACCATCCATCCATCCATCCATCCATCCATCCACATAGACATCCATCCACATAACCATCAATCCATCCAGCCAGCCACTCACATGTTTAATAAACATTTATTGAGTACCTACTCTAGGACAGATACTAATCTAGCCATTGAAGACACAGGATGAACAAAATATAATAAAACCCTGATCTATGTATTATCTATGCCTGCTCTTGCTCTTTAATAGCAGAACTACAAAGCTGCACCAGACATCATACAGTCTGTAAAGTACAAAATTTCCTTTACAGAAAAAGTTTGCCAATGCCTGCTTTAGGGAGTCAGGGGAATTATTGCAATAACCTGGAGTGAGATTACTATGACTTGGGCCAGAGTGGAACATCGAGGGGGGGCACAGAGAGTCAGATTATAGACATATTTTGAAGGTAGCATCAATAGGATTCTCTGGAAGGATTGGATATGGAAGAATAGAGAAAAAAGTGACTCCATGATTTTTCAGTTTGAGCAACAGGAACAATGGAATTACCCTTGCTATGGCATCTAGTATATTTGGGGTGGAATATCAGCACTTCAGTTTTGTTAAAGTTTTGAATGTCAGAGGAACCTATCTTTTAATCATTTCATAGGTCTACTATAATAATGATAGCTAATCCACCACAAATACTTTGAGAAAGTAAAAACCACAGGACAGGGCCTCCCTGGTGGCGCAAAGGGTTAGGATGCAGCCTATGAAGATATCCGCAGCCACTGCAGCACGAGTTCAATCCCCAGCCAGGGAGCTGCCCACATGGTGCAGCAGACCTCTCCTGACTCACCCGCTGCTCCCCTTAGCAGTGTACTTTAGTCAGTCTGCCTGTTCTGTTCCCCGCTCTGTCTCTGGTGAATCCTCTCACCCTCTGCACCTCTGGCCTGTACCCCAGCTTTGCATGCATAAATAAAAATGAATCTTAAAAAGAAACAACACAGGATAATCTAATTTGTGAACACAGATGATAAAAATCCCAAATAAATCATGAACAAATTTATCAGCCCATTAAAAGATAATCTATCATGACCAGGTTTGGTTTATTCTAGGAATGCATGTTCATTTTAGCATTAAGACAACAATTTATAATAATTCACTATTGTAGCATAAGAAAAGAAAAAGATCTATGATCATTTCAGTAGATTTAGAAGATTTATGGTTAAATTCAAGAGACATTCAATATTCCAAAATTAATACACTTCAAACAGAAAGAATCCTCATTAATGCAATTAAGGACATCTACAAGAAACCTACAATAAATGTAATCCTTTATGGTGATTGTTGAAAACTTCTGTTTGACATCCAAATAACAGTAGATGCCTGCTATTATCATGTCTCATCAAATCTGCATTCGAAATACTAAGCAAAATGATGACAGAAAGAGAAGGCATATGTATTAAGAAAGGAAAATGTTATTCATAACTGATATGATTATATGTAAAAAATCCAAAAGGGCTTCCCTGACGGAACAGGCAGTTGAGCCCCGCACTCTGAAGCTGTCTGCAGTCTCTGTAGTGTGGGTTTGATCCCGGCCAGCCGGCGAGAATCCCACGTGGTGAAGCAGACCTGTCCTGTCTCGCCCGCTGCTCCTAAGCAGTGTGTTTCGAGTCTGCCTGTTCTGTTCCCCGCTCTGTCTCTTGCAAATCCTCTCACCCTCCCACACATCTGGCCTGTACCCTGGTTCTTGTATAAATAAGTAAATCTTTAAAAAAGAAATCCAAAAGACTTTCCTATCTGCCTATAACTATGCAGGAACCTTTTTCTTTCTCCTTTTCCTAATAAACCTGTCATTTTAAAATGTAAAAAAAATAAAATTCCAGAAGAATTTACAGGTAAACAGAATAAAAAGAGAATGTATAATGAATTTGTTAGCATAAAACTACTTTTTACATATGTAATTGCAAACAATTGGAAAATAAAATTTTTAAATGATTCAATTTTTACATAAAAATTTAAGTATATAAGAACAAATGCAACAAAAATTGTTTATCTCTCTGAAGAAAATGAAACCTTTATTCAGTTATTAAGGAAGAACTCAATAAATAGAGAAACACACCATACTATGAACAGGAAGACTCAAATACAGTAAACATTAATCTACATATTGTTCTTTCGATTTAATTTAAAAAAAATCCAGCAGATTTTTATGTAGCTCTTGGCAAGCTGATTCTAACATGTATATGTAAATGAAAAGGGCAAAGAGAATCTAAAAACTCTTGAATATTAACAAAGTTGGAGGGCTGACTTAGTAGCTATCAAGATTTATTTAATGCTATATTAGTAAGACAGTTGGTGCTCAGATAGACAAATGGGTCAGTGGAATAGAATACTAGATCTTAAAATAGTTGGGACATCTCTTTGTTGGCTTAATTCCTACACTAATTTTTTTTAAAGATTTATTTATTTATACAAGAACTGGGGTACAGGTCAGAGGTGCGGGTGTGAGAGAATTTACCAGAGATAGAGAACAGAACAGGCAGACAGACCAAAGACACTGCTGAGGGGAGCAGCAGCCATAACAAGAGAGGTCTGCCACACCATGTGGGCATCGCCCTGGCCGGCTGGGAATCGAACCCGTGCTGCAGAGGCTGCGAACAGGTCCATGGCACTGTGCTCAACCTGCTGCACTGTAGGGAGGCCCTCCTACACTAAATTTTTATGCTCCCTCATAATGGAATAATTTTTTAAATCCTATTTTCCAACTATTTGCCATTACACAGACAGAATTGACTGTTAATTTTGTGTCAAGTGGTGTTACTATGTAATCTTATTAATTCTATTATTTTTCTGCAAATTCATTTGGATTTTTAAACACACAATCATGAGTTATGAATAATGATGAGCCAAGAGAGGGCGCCTGGGAGCACCCATCCCAGATTAATAGTCCTAGTGGGTGAGAGAAAATCTACAGCAACACAGGCGGTGCTTGAAAGGAAAGAAGGAAGAGGGATGGTCTAACTGTAAACAGTCTGGTTAAATGGGAAAAAGTTACATAAGACACCAGCACAGATGTTGGCCAATATCAGAAAGATTTTTTTTCTAAGAAATACCTTGAGTAACACACTTAGAACTTTTTAGATGTGACAGGTGTTATGAGTCTGTGTTGAACTACTATATTAATGCCTGCCTTCTCAGCACAATGATGAATTCAACAATGAAATAGTAAATAAACTGCTTTTGACATTGTACGCAGGGAAGCTGCTTTATCAAGTTAAGTGTAAATGGGTGGTTTCCCAAATTAGAGGAATATAAGTTACAGCAGGTGATTTATAAGTTATGTAGCCATATACCTACACAGTATTCAAAGCTTAACATAATCATCCACTTTTTAAAGAGAACATTTAAATACAGAAGATATGAGGTGTTAACTCAGCCTAGAATGTCAAAGATTAAATTTTAAGTTCAGTGATCAAATAGGCACAGCATATACAGTTGCAAAATATATTTTTGAAACTTATATCCATGAATAACAAAAGTTGTACAATGGAAAGAAATGTTTGCATCACAATATCATAATTCAGTTCTTGTGTTACTTTCTCTGAGAAGTCTCTTGTACTATCCTTATTTATGCCCCCTACAAGGTGTTGGCTCCCTGTCCCTGCTTCCTTTATACCTTAGCTACATCCCTTTCATAGCACTTTTCACACTAGACTTAAATTGTTCTTTTACTTGACTGCATCCTTCACTAGATTATATGCTAGTGGGATCACACTCTATTGGTTTTAATATCCCATAGCATGGTATATAGCACGCTTCTAATAAATACTAGCTGCATGAACTCACTGTAAAATATTAATAGAGGAGACAGTGTTCAATTTACAAACTCTCCTAACATGAAAATGTTTTCATTCTTTCTTAATTTTATGGTGTCAGACAAAGCACTGAAATATAGTCTTTCCTTTCTTTTACTCAAAGAATGAATTTCAGGAGTTCAATTTTTTTCAACAGCAGTTCATTCAGGGTTGTGCATTCACAAGGTACCTTTTATTTGCCTACTCAGCACAAGTTAGCAACAACAGAAAAACTAGTGATCCCTGGTCTAATTTTCCAGTGATCACAATCTACCATGGTTAAACCATGCTATAATTTAGAATGATGCTGTACAATGATGTAGTTTAGAACGCTATAGACACTCATGACCCAAACACTCTTTCCAAACACCCTCTCTAATAGTCCATCATTATTAATTAATCATTGTTAATCTGCTCCCAAACAAGATTTTGTGTGTGAGCAGAGTGAATCTAAAGAATATAGCAAATGCGACATATCTTCACATCATTCAAGTTCATAAGCATGGGTTAGTATGCTTGCAACAGGACTATGTTCACACAAATGACAAGTTTCCTGTGCCATGAGTCTCTGCTTATCTATGCGTTCAAGTACCATGGTCATATAGTTTATGACCTAGGTTCATTCTGGTTTTAAAGGATGAATCTAAAGAATAAAAAAAAATACTTACACAGTTGGTTGCATTGTTTCTCTGATTTTTCTATATGCTAGTAAGGATGCAGATCCTACTGTCTGTATAATTAAAGAAACAAACAAACAAAGCTTGCAGGCTTCCACCAGAGGGTAATTGCTTGGGGGGTGGGTACTGGAGTGAGGGCATGGGGCAAATGGAAAAAAAATCAAGTTTGGCCATTAAAGTTCCATCCCTCTTTGCACTAGGAAATATCCTCTGGCTCAGAGCCGACCATACGGAAACTGTTTCATCTTTAAGCTGGAGAATGAGCAAATCATAAGCAGAATTAATTTACAGTTAGGCAATAGCCCTAATTTTGCATGTCTCTATCTGATTAGCATCATCATTTAATTTTAGGAAAAATTAGTAAGTAATATAGAGCTCAAAAGTCCAGAATGTGCAAAGCAGAGAAGGGACCCTAGTGATCTGGGGAGGAGAATGACACTTAGATGTATTATTAAAAAAAAAAAAAAAACTCTAATAAACAGTTGGAACCGTTTTCATTAATTGTGACATCTAAGGAACTAAAGATCTTTTGTTTGTTTTCTTTTTTTCTGTAAAAAAGAAACCAAAGGGAAAAATTCTGAGGTAGTGTCAGGAAGTCACAGGACAATGCCACATCTCTAGCAAAGGGTGTTGAGTGTTTGGGGAAGAGATCTCACATGTGAGATTGTCCTGTGAATTTTCAAATTCAATTAAAAAAAAATCTGTGAGTTGTGTTTCAAGTTTAAGACACCCATCAGAACTTTATCTCCCTTGGACTCTCCAATCACCATAATTACATGTATGACAAATGTTTTTGTCTTTACCCAGGAACCAATGAATTTGTACAAAATAGATCCAAGGAAAAGTCTTTCTCCTCTAAGAAACTCAAGAAATAAACTAAAGACAGTCATTTGAAAACGTTTCACAAACATATCACATATAATAACACCAAGACAAAGAAATATGATCAAATAAATGTAAATACTGTGACAATGAGGCTAATATATACTTGCTATATACTGCTCTGGAACCCAAAATCATATTTAACAAGTTGTTAGTAGATAGCTCATATGTGAACTGAGAAACCATAGAACTAGAAACTTATGGAGATCATCTACTACCTGAACAACTGTATCATATTATAAGTGGAAAAAAATGGAGATATAGACAAATTAAGTGACATATCTACAGGAATCAAGGGTAATGGTTGAATTGACCCCAAAACTAACAGTCTCTTGATTCCAAGTTAGTTCACATTCAACTTCAATTTCAATCATGTTATAATAAAGTAGTCAGCATAGTTATTACAAAAGTCACATTACATCAGATCATGGTTTCACATCACTGTAATAGCAAGTTGACATTGAAGACCCACAAGGTGAACAGTATATCGATAGATTCATTTAAGTGTGATAATGTAGAACAGGAATCCATCACCATGTGAAGAATGTATGAAGTGCGACAGTTTATTTTCAACTCATGCAAATACATAATTTTTTTTCAGGCTATATTGAAGATTTAGCTTCATCACAAAAAATAAGGAGTGGTATGCATATCCTGTGTAGAATTCCAGAGATAAGAACTCTAAAAATAAGTTATGTAGTAATGATCAGCTCACCTGCTTTACTGAATAAATGTGTTGAAAGTGAGTTAAAGATTTCAACTGATGCAGGTATGACTTGGCTGCCCTGGGCTGGGGTGGTTTGCAGGCTGTTCTAAGGTGTTGGGAAAACCTCTTGGGTAGATTGGGTGTGGATGCTGAATGAGGTTTTCATACTTTCAGTCCAGAGTCAACTTTTAACATCAAAGACAACCCTCACTAGGCATTTTTCTGTATCATAAGATACATAGTTTCTGGCAAGTTTTAGAAACTACTGTTATCTCTGTTGAAGAGATCAGAATATGACAGCTTAGATGCTGGGAAGGGAGGTACTTGTGTCTGCATGGAAAGTAGTATGAAACCAATTTTGTCAAAAACATATGGCTTTTATCAGTTAGTTCTAGATTTCTTAGTTATTCAAATTAATTTACTCCTTATGATACTAACATGGAAATACCAAAAATGATACAAATATCTACAAAAATTATCTGATAATCACAATTGTGAAATATTTCACTTCACCTAATAGTCTTCTGGCAAAAAAAAAAATCATAAAATGGGTTCAGTGCATATTTAAAAGATTATTTTTTATATAATCAAGAGACTTGCAGAAAAATACCAAGATAAAAGCATTTTATAAACAGAACACCAAAATCCAAATCTTTTAGATGAATATTTTTTTTTTGTTTTTTAAACATATCTGAAATAATCCTTTCTCTCCTTTAGAAAGACCTACTAAACCTAGGCTGGAATAACTATTTACATATATTAAAACTTTAGTATTTAGCATACAGATTACGTTAAAATTTGTCCTTAATAATGGAGCCATGCCAAGAAAATATTATCAAAGTTATGTGATAACCCTTAATAATTAATAGCTGCTAAAACAACACCATGATTAATGAGAAAGGGTATAGATATTTGTTTAGAAAAACTAGCTTCAAATCCAAGATTAAGAAGAGTAACACGGGCTTTACAAAAGCAAGACTGAGAAAGTTCAGGTCTTTAATGTTGTTTTAACTCTTTTTGTAAAACACCAGCTTTGCTAAGTTGATCAATATAGCGAAGTCTTCTGGAAAATATGATAGAGTGCAAGACAAACCTATGACTAAAATGGAAATTTATTTTTTGATGAAAATGAAATTATTTCATAGTGAGGGATGTATGAACATTTAGACAAAAAAGTGCTTCTAAACTAATATTTGAGGGAAACATGAAATACCAGGCAGACTCTTATTCTCAGGAGACAGAGCTCAGTGTGTGTGCAGGGCAGGAAGGCAAGGGGCTCATGAGGAGCAGAGGCTCACCTGTATTCTCCAAAAGTGCCATCGTCCTCCTTCATGGGCTGGATCTCAGGGTCAGCATGAGCATCTTCCTTTTCTTTAACTACAAATTACAAAATGACATTATTATCTATTGATCCTATGTTTCTTTATTCAAAGCTTGTAAAAGAGCAACCTTTCAGATACATAACAGTAGAAAATAATTCTACACATTGTGGTGTGATACAACCACATAGATGCATGATGTGGTCATGTATATATATTCTGAAGTTTTAGTGACTTTGAGACAACCTAATAACCTTATAGAATGAACATATTAACACATTAAGTTGACTTCATGGAAGCATTTTGTGTAACAAGTGTCTTACTCACTTGATAGAGTAAGTTTTAAGCTTCTGAATGGTCTTCCTTAATTTACCAATCTGTTTATTAACTATATTCATACCTACAAGCTGTTTTTGTAAATCTATTCTTCTGCAGATTTTTTACTTGTCACTGAAGAGTAAACTTCCAGGCTCACAGACATACATATTTCCCACCCAACCCCATGCCACTGGGCCCACTAAATTGAACAAAACATTAACTATACAGAGAAAACAATGTTTCATGGCCTTACTTGCTTCGGAAACCCCACAGATCCTTCCCTCTGCTAGTTGGCTTCAGATGCTATTTCTGCAACCATGATTTATTTGTAGCCTAAAGGAAAAGTCACTACTGTCTTCAGAGAACTGATTTATTTCCCCAAATGCCTTCTGATCCTTGACAGCAGTTAGTTTGCCATTATATAAAAAGGGATCAAAAATTGTTTGATCAGGAAATCCAAATTTATGGCTCTGGGAAGATATCTTTACTGCATTCTACATGATCACCCTCCTGAATTCTTGTTAGTTTAATGAATAATTATGCAGAGTCACAAAGCAATTTTAATTTTTCTTTCTTACCTGGGTATTTACCACCCTTGTTCCTTCTGATGAAGCAAACGATCAGTAAAATCAAGATAAGGAGAGCAACAGCACACATCAGCCCAATGAACCAGCCCTGAGTGGCGATATCCACCTGCCGACTTGCCATTGCTGGAAGACAAATCAGCGGTGTCGGTGGGGTGGGTTAAGGAGAGAGGAGCACTGTTGCAGTCTCTTACATTAAACATTTTCCACAGTTATGGGCTTTGTATATTTTACACATGACCCCCAAATTGTAATCTGTTGATTATCAATCAGGCGTTAACTTTGAAAAATCTTAACTAAAAAAATTTAACTAGAGAAGTCTGAGAGCTAATACCATTATTGCTAACAAAACCTGTTGAACATTATATTCAAAATTATTTTAACTGCATATTCCCAAAATAAACATAGTCCCAAACCAATTAGAAAAATAATTACTATTTATAAGTTGTTTATCAAGTCCAATGATACAAATATAAGACTGAATTTTAAACAGAACAGAATGTATACATCTAATAGAGTATTTTTCCTTCAAATAAACCATTTTTGGAGACTAAAATGGAAAATTGAAATAATGCTGCCATTAAAATTTTTTTTATATCTCTGTCAAGAAAGAAAACTTCCCACATAAGAAACCTTCCACGTAAGATAACCAATTTTATTATTTTGTATAACACCTCAATTTGCCCCCTAAATACACTTAGATTTGTTATTCATCTCATTTGGAAGCGTTTGTTCTGAATGATTTTTAAAAATTTCCAAAAAATTCAATATAATATTCAATACTATTTCAGATCTATTCAAAAGACTTTGAAATACATCTTGAACAGTGGAATCATTACTGAAATAACTGGCCAGTTTAAAGAGAAAATACTCATTCACATGTATACGTATTCTTTTCGTTTTAATCTGTTTCATTAAATAAATATGAAGGCCTCAATCCAAATAGTCACAGTATGCAAATCTCCTAAGAAAAATCACAGAATAATTAGCATTTCTGGTATTTCTCAAAGTGTCAGTCAAATGGGACAAAGTGCAGCATTAATGGCTATTCAGACACGCCCATGAGGATTTATTTAAATAAATTGGTATGAATCCTTTTTTAAAAGACCTTAATTTTTTCACTTTTGTCCAAAAACAAGGTTTTCTTCTTTTGACTTTATGAGCATACCTCTATCACGCTTTTAATTTTATTAAATTTCTTCTGAGTATATTTAACATGACTGGGTTAGGTGTATGTGATCTCAGGATGCAGAAATAAGCATGACTACACATAGGCCAGGTTCTGTTATATATTGCAAAAATAGAACCTCAATGGCTTTTTTTCTCCACATGAACTCTAGGGATAAAAATGAAATGTTTAAAACTAAACATGAAGAAGAATATGAAAATTATGTGGCTGTGTGTTTAGGAAATAAAGCAAGAAGTGGAAATGCACTATCTGGAATATAAATCAAGTGCCAGTAGTCTTTTCCCAACAGCACTTTGTGCCTCACTGGTTATAGGGGTTTTGACTGACATGGTACCTAGACACAACTGACGCATGAGAACAGGTAGTGTCCCCTTCCAAACATGTACCACAGTCACCGTGAAAATGATGAAGATGAAGACAAGGATATTGAGACTAACCCCTATAACCATTGTTCAAACCTTTACTGTGCTGAGGGCAAAATCTCATTTTATCTTCAAAACAATCCTTTGAAGTAGACACCAGGAGGGTAGACCAGAGAGGGTAAAGATCTTGCCCAAGAGTTGGAATTTGACTCACTGCTGTCTGATTCCAAAGATCTGCTACTGTTATGCTCTGCTGTTATAATGCATTCTTGAAAATATGTCCAGACAGTATTAAATCCGCAGAGGTTTTTACAAAGAATAAAATGTTATGGGGGAATTTCCACTCTGAGACAGGTAAAAAGTTCATACTCTGGCAATATATTTCTATCAATTTATATGTGGTCTTTATGGGCTTTTTCTTCAAAACCAGAAACTAACTGGTCCTCGGAACATTTGATTGAAAGTAATGAGTCTTCATCATTTTTAGATTGCTTAATGATTCATAGCCTTGTCATAATTAGTATCTCCATTTATAGTTCATCTAGTTAAACACATAAAAGAAAAATGCAATAAGTTATGCAAGTCCTAGCACAGATGTCTTACAATGATGGTGCCATGACTGAGCCATAAGCTGGCAGCTTGCAACTGTGCAATTATGCAAAAAGTGGACCTTTTTTTGACATATGATAAACAAATATCCAAGTTTACTTTGAATTTGTTGCCTATATATATAAATAAAGAAAAAGTAGCAGATATTTCACATCCATTAAGATTAGGCAACACAATATGCGAACAGGTGCATGTGTGGGCATGTTCTCTCACACATACACATACACAAACACACACACAAGTGCATCAGAAGTTTTACAAAACAAAAATTTTGTAAGTGAAAATAATGTATGTTGACTTTCTGTCCTTATAATAAGGGCTTAAAGGCCTGAATAACTATGAGGGGTTCCAAGTCTTTCAGGACCCTCTAATATCATTCTAACTATAGCATATAAACCCAAGTCAGAGCCACCCTCATGCTTCATGTCACCCTGTGGGCTTCCTGAATCCACGTTTCAGTGGATGGGTGTTAGCAGGATTGGGCAGGAAAGTGAAAAAGAATTTTCACCTTATCGGAAATGTTTACAGTAAAATTATAGTCATGTAGTACTTGAGTAATACCGAAAGCAATAATCAATCAAACTAATACAAAGAATATGGAAAAACAAAATAAGCCAGAGTGATAAAATTTGCTTTGTTTCCTGGAAGTTAGTTTTAGCAACAGTCCTCTATATCACATTGCTTGTTTGGTCATAGGTAACGTGTGCTCTGTGGTAGTTGGTCTTGGAGGAAAATGATCTTCAGTACTTAGGATGATAGATTAAATGTAGAAGAGACAGGGTGAGATAAATGGCTATTTGTTGTGTACTAGTATTATCCATTATGTATCAAAATGTCCTGTTCAATAAAGAGAATTTAAAACATTTAAAGAGAGGGGAAAAAATTACCTTGTACAAAGTTTGGAGAGAGCTGATGAAAAAAGTGTTGGATCCAGTAAAGCAAATCTGCTTTTTATCTTTCGCAAAATGAGAGAAGAAACTTGGTAATTGAGGGTAAGAGCCGAGAAAGGAAGAGAAGGAGGTGGATGGTCTTAATGTGAGGTACCAACAAAAGTGTTGATGAGAAGCTCACCATTGGGATACCATCTATAGTCTTACTTGATTTTCAGTTTATGCCATAGGACAAAAAACTAAGAAATATACCTTAAGAATCCTGACTATAAAAAACAGACATTGTGTGAAGTTAAGAAGTTTATGAAACAAAGAGATGAAAGTTAGTCTAGGTTCCTAAAATGAGAAGTACTCAGAGAAAAGCAACTCCTTAACACAGAGAATTTAAAACATTAGCCGGAATGGTATGTTTCCATGTCTATTACTGACAGTCACATCTCAAAGCCTAGCAACAGGAAGCAGAAGCAAAAGAAAATGCTTCCAAACTGGAGTCAATCTGGTACCCCAAAGGACAATTCTGTAAACTGGGAGAACAAGAGAGCTGGATTGATCAGCATTTGCTCCTAGAGGTAATATGCTAACTAAAGGCATCACAGTTGACTCAATATTTATTCTTTGTAATAGTTATATTTACATGTAAGAGGTGGCAAAAACTGGTCATTGCCATGATTAATGTATTTGTCTACCTACCTACCTACCTATCATCTTCATCATCATTATCTATCCGTGGCACACAAAAATGGCTGACCCATAACCATAGCTCACCTGGAATTACCTACCAGTTGCAGGTATATCAAAACTGAAGAAAAATAATTTTTTCCTAAAGGGTTTGCCTTTTGTCCCATAAAAGGATTAAAAAAAATGCCGTAACTCAATTTCTGTGCATGGAACCTAATTCTACCTAGACCTGGGACTATAAGGAGCACTGAGGAGTCCAGAATATCTGGAAAGACATAGCAAATTCTAAATAAAGTGGTCATTTCTGGGACATCCTGTTCCACTTCCAAGTATGGGCCCCAGTGGCTCTACGGTGGGTATAAGGAGAGCCTCTCTTCCAGTGTTGGGAAGCTGAGCCTCTCACTACAGCTCTACAACATTCTGGCTGGGTAATTTGGGTAGGCGATCCCCCTCTCAGAGTATCGACATGATGTGTAAGTGGGTAATAACAGTGCCTACTTCACAGGATTGTTGTGAGGGCTGAATGAGAAAAGCCAGGAAAGCTATTCTCCCAGTATAAGGAAGATTAAATACCAGTGTTGTTACTATTATTAGCATTCTATCTCTAGATATTAGATATTAATACAGCATTTTCCTAAAATTCTATATAAATGACTATGGAAATACAACAAACAGAATAACAGAAAAAAATTTGTTGCTTTAAACATTATGATTTCAGCACATGGATGCTTAAAAATACAATTAAGTAAGTTATTGAATATTACCTTTGGTATATATTTTTTAAAAATCATGAATATGTTTTTCTAAATAATAAGAAATGACTAAAAATCATAATGTTTGTGTACAAGACACAAAAAATACTTTGCTTACAGGAAATGCAAGATTTCCTCAAAAATCCATGAAGTGACTGAACATGACATGGATGTATGAATCACAACATGAACACATACCACAAAACCCTTCTTTAAATTTAAGCAAGGGGTTGTTTTTCATTTCTCCAGTTTAAATGAATATGAATGCATTTTATATGAACATTTTTCTTTGTTTTAGAAACATTAATTTTTATTGTATATTCTGATGTTAAAATAACTAAAACATATACTAGCAGTCAAATTTGGTGTGATAACGTGTTGTTCTATAGGAGTTTAATAATATTTACAACAGTTGTCTAACCAAACTGCAGGGTTCTACTGGGTGCAGCCATTTGGATATAAAAAGTTTCAGACCTTACTTATAAAAAGTAAGTTATTGCAGCTTCAAAAACATTTCAAAAGCTCCATTCTAACTCTGAAGGAGATTTCATAGATGTAAATGATATGAAAAATTAAATTACATCATTTACGTAGGTTGGGAATAATTTTCATCAGTTTTTGTAATGGCCATGGGCAGTAGTCCCAGTTAGACGATTTACTCAATTCTGTACTTCATTTGATATAAAGTCAAGAACAATAAAAAATTCAAACTCCATGCCCACTGGGTCCCACAGAAAGAATTCAGGGCCCTACCCATCACACAGCTCCACCAGCCCCGGTCTCGACTGGAGCACACGGTGGCTTCACCTCTGGGGTGAGTCAGAACTGGTGTGGTGTGTGCCTCACCTGGGCCTGTCTCAAACACATCCTCTGAACTCACAAAACCAGAGTCCCCCTCAGCACCAACTCGAACTTTGTATGCTGTTCCTGGCATTAGACCCTTTAACCCAAAGAAGCTCCGAGAACCATTTACAATTTCTTTCCTCCATTCTTCTTTGCCTATGGAAATTTTGTAAAAACAACACATTTAAATATTTCATGGGGCCAGAAATCACTCAATGCTTTAAGAAAGGAAAATTATTTATAAGTTAATAAGCTAAAGACAAAATCTAGGATTCACAGGGTTTATCACTTCAGATTATCGTTAAGTCAAGCCATGTCAAATAAATCAGTTAAAAGAACTACATGACAATGTACTCAAAGAAAAATTGAGTGATATCCAGATTGCATATTTATATTCCCATTGTATTAAATATTTTTTTCTTTTTTTGAGGTAACATTAAGAACACTGTATGGACTTCAGGTGTACATTTTCTCAATAAAAGAAGCTTCTTATCTGTTCCTTGCTTGTGAAACTATTGAGTTTCTCTAATGATGTTTATAAAAAGAACTGCTACATATTAAATAGCTTAAGTGAAATATTCCATGAGAGTCACAATCAGAATCTTTTGGTAAACTTAAATGTCTTCAAATTTATCCAAATTACAGATTCAATCTTTCCCTATTTCCTACAGATTCAAATTTATTCAAGTTATAGAGCACTGGTTTCCCTAAAGAAATAGTTATTTCTAAAAAATATTTGTTTGCATGATAAAGGCCTTAACAGGAAGCTAGTCTATGTCCAACATTTTCTTACAAACATTTACTGGCCACCCAGTTTAATCCGTGCAGGGCACACTGCGCTGAGGAGGGAGTGAGCAGTCTTCACAAACTACTGATAATTAAAGTTGCTTCATCTCCAGTAACATCAGCTACGACGTAAACAGAACATCTGATTTGGGAATACATTAAACATGGAAACACAATGCATGTCCCCTCTAAGTGTTAATTTTCCACAACTTCTGATAAAATTCTGTTGTCTAGTACAGGCAAAATGAGTATTTTCAAGTCAGTTTGATTTCTGCTATTTCAAAGTCCAATTTGAAGAAACTTTTCTTCTTTCCACTTATACTAACAAATACAATCATTCATTATTACTCTTGCTTACGTAGGTGGGTACAGAACAGTTTTAAGTACCATGATATGAAAATAACTATGCCATGGAACCTATAACATCTTCTATTATTAGCAACATAAAAATAGAAATTTCTATTTATATGTAAAATAGAAAGGCTGACTATTCACTTATAGTTTTTGGATAAATCTGATTCATTTAATTGGATCAAATTTTTTGTTTTTTTTTCAAGATGATCCAAACTAAATCTTTCAAAATGTTCTTAAGCTCTTAAAATGTATCCCCCAAATTAAAAACCAGGTAATGAAATTGTTTCTTACTGCCAGCTACACCATATTCAATATAAAAGTTCACAAGCTCTGGTCCCTCATATTCCCAACTGATATTGGCATAGGTCTCAGCAGCTGCAGTAGTAAGATTGCTGATCCTGGGATTTACTGCTTGAAATAAATATATAATAGAAAAATCAATCAAACAAACAAACAAACAATCACATTACAGCACCAAACACACAGATATAAAATAGATTTAAGTACTCTGAAATTGTGCAAATAAAATTAGAATTTACTGCAGAATGTTAGGGTTCATTCAGACTTTCCTTTCATTACAGAAAGGTTTTTCACTTATGAAACTGCACTATGAAAATAAATTAACAATCAGAAATACTGAGGCAGAATATTACAATATATGCATTCTATTGTATGGGTCCTGAATAATGGAAACTGTTGTCCATTAAATACAGACTCAGGAAACATCAGTCTTAATTTATTTCTATCAGTGGGGTGAGGGACTGATAAGCAATGCCGTGGGCAGAGATTACAGAACATCAGAGACTGCAAGGTAACTTGCAGGCAGTTGCTTTTCAATTCTGTTTATCACCTCATGTGGGTCTTTAAAGAATTTGTATTATGATGAGAAAGAATGGTCCTTAGAATAGTGGTTTTTGACCTGTTTTGAGTCAAAAACTTCCTTGAGAAGAATGTGCCTCTGGGGATTTCAGGGAACCCAGGTGAGGAACACTGCTTTGGAGAACAGTAAATGATTAAGGTATCTGGAAGAGAAGCTGCAAAAAAGAATCGCGAAATATGCTTATCAGAAGTTAAGAAAGAAAAATAAAAACAATGAGAACTACTTCACTTGACAAGCTCCAGAGAGGGAGACAATCTTACCTGCTGTGTGTTTGCTATATATACTGTTCTGAACAATCATAGAGCAATTTGAATAGTTTCTTAAGGCACCTAACTATAGAGACCACATAAAGCTCTACACTTGAGTCCCGAGGACATCTACAGACATTCAATGATGTTATTTATTCTCCGAGGCTGACAATTCTATCAGCCTTACCTCAGCAGACTAACTGAACATGAGATATTTACAGATACATTAACTTGAATAGTTGAAAAATGATAAGATTAATAGATGACCACAGAGAAATCTTCTTAGATTAAAACAGAAAGTGCCAATGGGTTTACTCAGACTCTAAGATTAAATTCTAAAATGTTATAAAATTTAGAAGCTAACAGCTAATTTGTTAACAAATTTAGAAGCTAAATTTGTTTCACTGAAACAAATTTAATGAAATGTGGTATTTTAAGGATCAAATAAAGAAGTAAATGAAATAAGTAAGGCATTTGACTGCTGAGATATAATTCCCGATCACCTGTGTGTTGTGGTCCTCTCTGTTGACAAGGGCAGCAAACCTGACTATTGAATTGTGAAGAGACAATAATGTTAGCTGTCTGATATTTTCCTCTTAAGGGAATAGGCAATGATAGGAATATGATCAATCAACAGAGAGAGTAAATATGTACCTGTGTGTAGAACATCAGTGAAAAGAACTGAGGTAAAACATTAACTTTCTTTAAATGACTTCAGAATTATGGAACTGAGAAATTTGGCCTGGGAGTAATTATGGAAGATATTTCAGGCAGAACCAAAGTGAAATACTTCCAATAGGGGTCTTCAGTTTATTCTTAAAGACATCAAGAAAAGATACTACAATTTCCCCAAGGTTACTATTTCTCCATTTTATCATAGAAATTTTAATTCTCCTTCCTTTTACTCCCCACTCATCCATGTTCACTTTCTCACTCTTTCCATGTTTCTTGACCTAATTGGGCAGCAGTGGACCTGACTCCAGTATAACAATAGTTATAATAGTGATAGTGTGACCATGGGGGATTTGTCACCATTTCTCAGTGCCTTTTGTAATTATATATTTGAAAACTTGGGTTTCATTAACATTTCTTAAAATCTTAAGAAAATTTAAACACCCAATGAGTACCCGTGATATGCCAGACAGGGAACTGCAGTGCCATTTCTCATATGGGCATTCTCAGCTGTCAACCTGCAACCATCAGTCTTGTCTGTAGATTCCACCAGTGTAGCTACCTGCATATTAGCTTCCGAGATTAAATATCTGATCTTGTAACTTCACTATTTAAAACTGGGAGGGCTTACCTCTGCCCACAGGTAAACACAAATTCCTTAGCAAGGCACTCATGGACATTAAGGATTGCTCACCTCTGGCTTCATCTGCTTCTGAGTCATTTGCAGTTCAGGTACTCTTCGCTCCTACACTCTACATTTCTGCCAAACTGAACTGCCAGGTATAGCCCAAATATCCTTTGGAGTTTTGAATCCCATGCCTCTGCTAATGCCCCCTACCAAAGATTCACACACCTCAACCCTCTGACTCCTAGGGCAAAAATTCTATTTGTTCTTTAAGGCCCAGTTACTTTCTTTGTGAAGTTTTTCCTGATCCTATTTGGAAAAATAAAAAGTTTGCTCCTCTGCTCTGCTCAAATTACTAGGGTAATATCTCTTTTTACTCCTTTTTTAAAATTACCTCCCTGATATTAACTATATCAAAGGCAAGGTCCATCTTACTATGTTGGCGCTTTGTGCCTTAAAAATGGCCATGTATTTTGGATGGAGCTGGAAGGGATCATGCTTAGCGAAATAAGCCAGAAAGAAAAAGAAAAATACCGGATGGTCTCATTCATAGCAGGAATTTAGAAAACCAAAATAAGGGACCAGGAAAAAGACTAATTATAATAAAGTAAAAATCAAAATCAACAAGCAACTATAAACCAGAGATACACTATGATGGGGGGGGAGGAGGGATTAGGGTCAAAATAAGAGGGGTGGGAATTGTATGGGGACTATGACCAAGATGAAAACGCATACATTGTGCAAAAATGAAAAATGTAAAAAATATATAAAATAAAATTTTAAAAAATGGCCATTTATTTTATGAGCAGATAGATATTCACTGTTGAACTGACTGAATCTTCTGTTTAACAACCTCATTGTCATTCAAGCCAAATAAAGCTGATTTTTACTTACTGGGTCTTTAGCTTTTCCATGTTTCTTGACCTAATTGGGCAGCAGTGGGCCTGACTCCAGTATAACAAGTTATAATAGTGAGAGTGTGACCGTAGGGGATTTGTCACCATTTCTCAGTGCCTTTTCAGGGCACTCAGTTATAACTGGTTGACCACCATCAGCAAGAGCCAGGTTCAGTGCCTGCCTTGCTACTTCAGTTCCTCCCTGCTCCTATACACCGGCTCGTCCCCTCACAGAAGTGTTCTGATGGTTGGTCCCAAGGACAAGGCAGTAAAATACTAGAGAAAAAGGAGTATTGATCCACCAGCAACACTGGGGCCATCATCTTCATGTTTTGGGTTCATTTCTATAAAAGCCTTCATTGGCCTATTTTCCAGAATTCAGACCCAAGAAATATCTAAAGAAGCATAGAAACTGAACAAATGTAGTCAAACAACTATAACAATTACATAGATATGGAGGGTTTTAACTAAACAAGGCCATGAATCAAAATAAGTGACTCCTTAAAAATATCAAGATTATTTCCATGCCCATCTTAGTTATATTGATGAAGATGATAAGGAAAAGGCTTGGTAGGTTATAATAAACTTAGTTGAATTATCCTGGTTTCTATTTCATGGTTTAAATAACCCTTTTGTAATTATATATTTGAAAGCTTGGGTTTCATTAACATTTCTTAAAATCTTAAGAAAATTTAAAGATGTAAGCTCAGTTGTATCACTTTCTCCCTCCTGTGATCAGAGGTAAATTAAAATCAGTAGAGGTTGGTGCTTCTATAGCTAAGGGTATCACACAAACTTTCTCACAATGATTCTTATATTTTTATTTTCTTTCATCTTGTTCTAAACTAAAATATAAAGGATAGATAAAATATCAAAATTGGAAGGATTGTGGAGAATTATTTTTCTACCTTTCAGAGACTATCTAAACTTCACATGGAGAAGGAAAAATATAAAAGAGGATAGTATTAATTCTTAGATAAAAAAAAGTATTTAAGGAATAATAAATTATTCTTAAGCAGCTTAAAGTTTTATGGTAAAATATTTTATGCAAGCAATGTTTAATTATTGCTGCCCTGTTAAGAGGAAAAAATATAGAAATTAGGAATTATTATTTAAGCTACATTATTTAGCTTGAAAATTTCTAAACACAATTTCCCTTCTTATCTGAGATCCATCAGTTTTTGACACAGATGGGGGAGGCCATGCACCTTCTGTCATTCCATTTTTGCTTAACTCTATAATCATAAGGAATTCAAAATTCAATTTAGAAACATTAAATGGTAAGACCTAAAGGCTTTTAATAACAATTTCTTTTAGTTTTATTCGCTAAGTTATCCTGCCACTTAATTTCTTCTGGTTTTAATTTATTACAAACAGGAGGTGATGTGCGAAGCAGAATTCATGTCCTGTTCTACCACAACCAGCCAATGGGACACTTGGATGCCCTCCCTGCAGCCAAATTATTCTGCTACTGAGGAGACAGGGCCACAGGGATGTGTTACTGCACAGGTCCAGGCCAGGCTTTCCCTACAATGCTTCATGTAGATGGTAAGAGTGGAACACAGCAGTAAATAATTGTAAAACAACCAAGAATTGTAACTGATGTCTGATTATCCTAGAAAAGGGGGTATATATCAAAAAGAGGTTTCCATCTTCCTACAATATTGTATGTAGAATTTTGGAATAGTCACAATTCATTTTTTGAAGTCTAAAAACACACACATGCCATGGTTAAGATAACTGAAAGTGGCTATGGTTCTTATTCAGTTAGTGCAAAATCAGATCTACATTCTATAACTTATCAAGGCTTTAAATATAAACAGGTTTCTAAAAAGCAGAAGATATGTATTAAGCTTAAGTTGACAAAATTAGAATAATTTAGGGCAAAACATATTTCTCTTGGTCTTCTTTTTCTTCATTCCCACTTGTACTCATTTAGTCTAACTCCAAGAAAACCCCTGGTCATGGGTACCCCATATGAAAACAGTGCTCTGTGGCAGGGATTCTCTCTCTACGAAGTTAACAGATTAACCATTAGCCAAGGGCCAAAGACTGGGGGATTTCAGGAGGAAGACATATCACAATTTATTCAAGCATCATTCTCCCAGCAAAGCTTTCTCACCCAGAGAACTGTGAAAAATAAAGGAGGATGAAAAAGTAATCCATTGTGAATTGTTGGCTATCCAGGAGAAGGAGACTTGAGCTGTTTGGTGAAGACAGGATGGAATAACACAACTGAGCACAGCATGCAGGCTGACTTGCTTGGAGGGGTTCCCTCTGAGGATGCTTCTAGTCCAGGCTAGCTGGAGGGTACTGCTAAGTTGGGATTCCACGTGGACATGTGGTGTGATGCCAGCAAAGTGTGTGCTGTATCTACCAGGAGCATAGCTAAATCAGATTAGAATGAGGAGCTTGATTGATCCACTTTTTCACAGGATGTTTTCATCACAGGATGAGTATTACTGAACCCTTAAAAAGTGGCATGGCCACAGAGAGGGTCTGTGACAAATCCACGGTTTCGGTCCTGCCTGATCCAGCCACAATCATATCATTAAAAGCTAAGATTAGTATTTGGACAAGGAATATAATCTTGAGGAAAAGTTTTGGGAGAATTCTATATGTGGCTTTCTACTTGCAAAAAAAAAAAAAAAGACTAGAAATTAATTTTAAAGCCAAGATCTTTGAAGATCTTCTCTTTCTTTTGGTGTTTCAAGGCTTCTTTTCCGTCTTTTTTTTTTTTTTTAACCCATGCTGCACTTCCCCATGTTTAACATTGCAAATTTCACACAGGTATAAAATCATGCAGATGAATTATTTTACCTTTGCCTGCACCTACATCAGGTGGAAGAATACCAGCTTTAATGAAGGGAAACAGAAATAGGACACTATATAGTTAGATGTAACACACCCATGAGCATGTTAAGCGATAAAAAACACTTATTAACATGCTAAAGCATGCAAGAATGAAGTGTTCCATATCAGGTACAGGGGACAACGTTTGTTGCTGTCCCCACATTTACCTAGTAATCAAATCCACACATTACTTAAGGTGTATTATACATAACTAGCTACAAAGTAGGAAGCCTTAAGATATTTCAAATCAACTTTTAGGTAGAAATGTCAACTTCTTATGCTATGGCAGATAACCAATAAATAACTCTTAAGTAATTCTACAATGTATAGACATGCAAACACAGAAAATCTTCTACAGCATATTAGATCATTTTCATTGACTCAAACATTTTCAAAATTATTTTTAAGAGTATGAAAGAAAGTGCTAATTCCTTCTTAGATACTTTAATGGGGCTATTTTGCTTTTTTCTGCAGCAGATGGCATACCAAAATACGAAGTCCCATTTCAAAACACAATGTAAACACACTATTTAATAACAGTTTCAATTTTCTTACTAGAAAACCTAAATCAGTATGTGGATTAGCACATTATTTTCTGCTTTATATCAAAACTGGAATTACATGTTTATTTATGTATGTGTGTACGTCTCTGTGTGTATAAATATATTTATGTATGTATGTTTGTATTTGTTGGTAGAAAAAAACATTGTCTTGAACTTCATACTCTAGAGTGGTAAAATATTCTAATTTTCCACTCTCACCTCAGTATGTCAATATGTTGCAAACTTTAAATGGACATGAAAAAATATCAAATACTTATTCTAATATGAATTAAATCATTCATATTATATATTATATATATCAGAATGAGAAATTACAAATAAGCATTTGCATCAATTGGGTTAGATGGAAATTCCATTGTAAGAAGAAAAGAGAAAGCACACACTTAAGATTTGTGTTCCAGGATACTCATATTTAGATGGATTTTATACATACCCATCTTACCTTCATCCACTGTTGTTATTGCTTCCTCCGTTATTTGACTTCCTGATCCTGCTGATGTTTGTGCATAGAAGTAAAACTTATATCGAGTGCTGAAATTTAAATTTTTTAAAGTCCAGCGTGTCTTATTGGCAGGAATTTTTAAATCTACCAGTGGACCTAATTCATGTGTATTGTTAACTGTGAAGAAAAAATTAATTCCCCATTAGTTGCTACAGAATATTATTATAAATAAATGTGTCAACCAAAAAAGTCAAACTCAGATTACACTGGCTTTTGTAACCCTGCTCTTTTCTTTTTAAGACCTCAGGAGAGGTCTGCTGTGCCGTGTGGGTTGCTCCCTAGCTGGGGATTGAACTCGAGCTGCATTGGCTGTGGTAAGCTTCATAGGTTGTGTCTTAACCTCTTGCACCAGCAGGGAGGCCCTAACCCTACTCATTTTTTACCTGACATAATATTACAGCTTCTATAATATAGCATAACAAGGGGAAATGTATTCTCCATGGGCCCATAAATTAGGAGATTGTTACACTGAATCACAGTAGCATTTGTCTCAGTGTTTGCAGGTGGAGTCACATATTGTTAACTAATCACAAACCCTGTCTTCAGAAACTTTGTGCCAAAGGAACTCCTCTTTACCAGTTTCGAGTTATAGAAGATGTCTACCTAATTACCACAGCACACTACAAACCTGCTGCTCAGATGTCTGTATTATTCTACAGATAGCTTTATTTTCAAATATGTCATTTTCCTTTAAAAAGTATCATTGAAGTTCCTTCTAGAATAATGCTTGAAAGTAAATGCATATATTCTATGGCTATAAGAAATAATCAGTTTGTAGGCCTCCTTGGTGGCACAAAGGGTAAGACACAACCTATGGAGCTGTCCGCAGCCACTGCATCATGAGTTGGATCCCTGGCCAGGGAGCAACCTACACGGCACAGCAGACCTCTCCTGTCTCGCCGCTGCTCCCCTCAGCAGTGTATTTCAGTTGATCTGCCTGTTCTGTTCCCCACTCTGTCTCTGGTGAATCCTCTCACACCCCCACACACACCTCTGGCCTGTACCCCAGTTCTTGTACGCATAAATAAATAAATCTTAAAAAAAAATAATCATTTTGTATTTTAAGAATATAGTTTTTTTTTTCCCTTTAAAGCCATATTTCCACTCCCCCACCCCTTCTCCCAAGAACTCACTTGGCTGATATTTTAAGGTGTATTCCGTCAAAATGCCATTTGGGTGGATTGGTGGATCCCATTCCAATGTGAGAGAATCCAGTGTTGGGTTAACAATCTTCAAAGAGGAAGGAGCACTGGGGACTTGTTAACAAGAACACAGAGTCAACATAAAGGCTTTTGAAAGTTTCAAAAATTACAAAAATGACATATTTCATGATGTTTGCACAATTCATTGAGATTTTTGTTTTCTGTAACTTATAATTCAGCTGAAAACTCATTAATAGAAGTATGTGATAGATATGTTCAGCTATTTTCTTTCTACCATTTCCATGTAGAACCAAAATACATGAAGTTTCTGCCTTTATAGGGACCCAAACCTCTGTGTGTGTGTGTGTGTGTGTGTGTGTGTGTGTGTGTGTGTGTGTGTGTGTATTTGGGGGGATGAGAACGGGCAATGATGAGGCATAGAGAGGGATTCTGAGCAGAAAGGCATGGGCAAAGACATGGCAGGAAAAAAGGATGGGCATGGGATAAGGATAAGGTAAGGCTGGTGTGGAGATTTGCCCATTACAGGTTATGGGTAAGGGGGGTGGTGGGAAACGACTAGAAACATGGGTTAGGAGTGTGTATGGAAGACTTTGAATGCCAAACTGAGGATTTATGTTTCAGTCAAAGATTAAAAATCCAGAATCTTAATAAGAATGATGGTAATAATATTTATTTCTATTACATGTATTTATCCTTATGATAATAATGAGAATGGTGTCTCTTTACACTTGAAGTTCAGCTGGCCCAGGCAGGCAAGCTTTACTCTGGAGATAAAACAAACTCAGAGAATCATATGGCTTCCTGGGGATCTCAGAGAAGTGTGTTAACACTAGCTGGTTCTTTTTAATCTCTTATTTAGTAAAAGTGCAAATATAAACTTACATTTTGGATGCTCTAAGTCAAATAACACACATTATGTGACTTCAGATCAAAATAATTCAGGGTAAAAATATATATGACGGCCATCTATATTGAAAAGTTCATGATTTTTTAGAAGCTCTGTGTGTGAGCTATTAAAAAATAACTGTTTTATAACAACACATTAGATGTTCTTTCTCAGGTGCACATCATTATATTTTTTTTGTATCTTATTTTTTCCCCACCACTGTCCCTTGTGTTCCTTGTTTCTGTCCCTCCCCTTCCTCCTAATCTCAGGCCCTCAAGATGTTGACTGGCAAACCAAACTTAAAAAGAGACAGAATACGTATGTCATGGTAACTAAAAAAAAAAAAAAAAAAACCAAAAAAACAAACCAGTGACTAAGGGAAACCATTCTAACCAGACCTTTGAATAGAAGAGGCTGTGTTCTAGGTTATTCAGGACTGTTTTCCCCCAACAAACCAGGCGTCTCCAGTCAGAACGCCCTGCCTGCTGGGCTCTGGGCCTGAGCCAGCCTGTCCAGGTGCAGAGCGCTTCTTATCCAGAGAGCTGAGAGAGGCCCAGATCGCAGTGGTGGACAAAAGCCCCAGTGTTGGCAATCCCTGGCTCTGGGGAAGGCCTGTGGGTATCAGGCTCTCTATGGCAGAGGCTGGCCAAGTACCAGAGGAAACATGCCTGGTCTTCTTCTAGTTACTTCCTCATGAAAATGAAGGTTGTGGCAGCTCCCTCATGGTGGTTGCTGCCTCTACCATCCTGTTGTGCCCCCTGCACTCAGTGATAGCAACAGTTTCCTCTGTTGCTCTAGAGAGAAACCAGGGTGTCAATGTCTGCTTCATTTTCTGATGATATGCCTCAGAAGTACCATTTGCTGGGACACTTTGCTAATCTCAACCATATCCATTCCTTTCTCTCCCTCAGCCACTGCCCACCTCAACACCTCAGGGGCCTTTGCCTGGGCCTACAACAGTCCTGGCTTATATTTGTAAACTTCCCCAAGCCAATAAGTGGTTTCTGACTTTTGGAGATTACAAACCCCTCTGAAAACCTGATGAGAGCCATAAACTCTCCCCAGAAAAATGTACACATTTGACATAATCTTAGGGAGTTCATAGAACTTCTTAAACCCACTTACTGATCCTCTAACAGACTATAGTCCCCAGATTAAAAGTCTTCCTACAGGTTAATATCCACAGCGCTCAAGGCCATTCAAGGTCCCCCCAGCTGACCTTTCTATCTTTTCTCACTATTCCTGATTATGAGACTTGCAGTTCCCTAAAGGAGCCATGCTGTTCCACACCTTTGTACCTTCAGACCTACTAATTCTTCCTTGCATCCCTTGATCATCTCTTTTATGACACCATCCCCTGAGCCACCTAAAGGACCAGTGTGGCATCTCAGTAGAGCAAGCCTCAGTGGAAGGAGTCCTTCATGTCTAAAGGTCAGTGAAACTGAGGATAAGCAATTGCTGAGAGGCGGGAATTGGAGCCTGGGGTGACTCCCAGAGGCTGCTGGGCAGCTAACAAGATCATGAGCCTTTCAAACAGGAGCAAGGACAATGTTCATCTTTGAAGTCCTTTTATCAAAAAGATCTAAGGAATCCATAGAAGGTACCCAGTTAATTTTTAATACTGGCTTGATGCAAAATTCAAAATAAGTAAAGCCCATTTTCATGCTTTTTCAAATCCCAGTCTTTCTGGCTATTTGGCTCCTGTCTCCCTCCCCTGTTCAGCTCCCATGTCCCTTTGCTCTAACCAACCTGCTCCTCCTTATCAGTGTCATACTGGTCCCCCCTCTAGATTCCTCTTGAAGCGATACTTCCAATAACTCTTTCCAAACCCTTTCATCAAGACTTCCAATCTTCTAACTCAGTACAACTTCAACTATGAAGGCACACACAGAACACAGCCATAGAAGTAAACTACAACTTAGAGAAATAGATTCCTTTGCAGGTGTTTGTCTTAAGCTAATCACATTCAGCTTTCATGCTTTTCTGATGAGGCAGCTGAAGCTTAGAGAAGTGATACAACTTGTTTCAGGTCAGAAAATTAATGTATCAAGCATCAAATTCTCAAGGTTTGTGACAGTGTAACTAAAGTGTGGGGAAAAAATGTTAAAAGAGAGGGGGTTTAGGGCAATATTTAATATTCTGAAGTCTTGGGCTTAATATGAGCTGATGCTTTGCCACTTAGTGTGTCCTGTGTTTGTCTATGGGGCAATCTCATCTGGCTTCATACAAAGCATTCATACAAGGCTGGGCCATGATTTCCTAAGACTTGGAGACCCAGTTGTCCCATACCTCCTTCCGGAGTGTTGAAGACTCTGTCGGGGCTGGCAGGGCCCTCCCCTTTGCCATTGACCACTCGGACATTCAGTGCATAGTGGCTAAAGGGCTCCAGCCCGGGCAACATGCCATGGGTCCTGCTGCCCTGGAAAGTGAGGATCTTTTTCTCAATGTGGCGTCTGTTTCTTTTAGATGACTCCTGTTCCTTCCAGTAGTAAATCTGAAATGGCAAGAATGAAAGTCAGGGACATAAGAGCTAGTAAACTAGATTCCTCACACTCCCAATATTAAAGTTTTGTTGTTTATTACCAGAACATTCCCTTGGTACAGTTTAGAAGATTACTGGCAAAACTGATAAATACTGATTTCTACGGCAAGAGAGTAGAAGCAGACAAATAATGACATTAAATTATGAATGTGTGATGAGCAGTACTAGCTACTTTGTTGAAGAAGTAGAGCAGATCCTCTAATAAGGTCATTTTGTTCAGCATCGTCTTCATATGAAGTTGATGAGAAGAAAAATCCAAGCTGATGTTGAACAAAATGACCTTATTCAATGACCTGCTTTTGTTACACACTGTGGCACCTAAAGTCAAATTTTCCAAGAATCTAATCCTGGAGTCAGTGTTAAATGAGGACTTACTGTGTGAGTAAAATATATGGAATAGCATGAGAGCCATAAAGTTTTCTCCAGAACACCAGGAAGTGGAAACTATAGGAGAGATTAAGTGTCTTTTATGTGAATAAATTATTCTCAATTAAAAAATTACTACCTATAATTTACAAACTTTTCCAGAGTTAATACATCTTCATGTACAATATATTACAATTTACTCTTAAAGCAATGAAGTTTTTGTTATTATTACTTTTAAAGCATAGATGACTCCCTGGGCTATGGAGTGGCTGCTGTATAGTGGATGGGACCCTCCACTCAAGTCTAGGGCTTTTGCACTAAGTTAAACTGTATCACTTAGTAAGGCATACTTATTTTTTTGTATTAAGTTATAGCATGGATAAAAGCAAAATGATTAGCTTTGGTTAAAAATCCTGAATTGTTTGTTAAATCCTTTTAAAATTCCTTTTAGGAATTTAAAGTCAGTTTTAAAAGGAATTAACTAATATACACAATCTGGCAAAGATGAGGTGGGGGGGGGGTGGGAGGTGGAATTGAACATGATGCAGTGTAAAAACCTGACCTCTAGGGGTCAGGCTTAACAAATCAGAGTAGTGACTTGTGGGCACAAAACAGTTCTTAGCACTCCTATCAAAAATCTCTATGAGTCACTTTTTTTGTGTGCCTCCTAATAACCAAGTTAATTGATGTTCTTAAAAATATTGATAGGTTGTATCTAAACAATCTTGAAAAGCTCATTTTAGTGCTTTTTCCAAGTATAATCTGAATTCAAATTTTAAATGTCTAAATTATTTTTAGGATAATTGTGCGTGTTTTACACTGTGATCAGTATCACTTTAAAACTAGGTGCATTTTGTTATATTCTCAGCTTTTAAACATTATTTCCCTCCATTTTATGCATATGTGAACTGTTTCACTGGAAGAATGTTAACTGTAAATGTCAAATGGAAATCTGTGGGAAGAATTGAGAATGAAAATATGCCAGGGTGTGTGTGTGTTTCCCCCTCACTCTGTATGCAGAGAGGTTCTGATTTACTTGTAGCTGAGATTTTTATCAGTGGCCTGCCTAAGGTGATAAACCAGACAGGATGAGAGAGGCCAAGGCCTGCTCTAACCAAAGGACGAGTCCCTGGCATTGGCTGATGGGCTCTCACTAATGGAAGAAGCTGAAAGTTCCCTTCACTTGCCCGATAGCCTTGCAGGTGTCCTCGGATGCTCTTCAGGGGCACAGAGTCCCAGTGCACCTCTGCCAATGTGCTGTTCACCACACTCACTCGAACATTCCCAGGAGCCACCATTGGAACTAGGGGAAAACAGAGTGGGTGGGGGAAGAAACATCAACACTATTTTGAATTTTATGCAATAATGTTACTGTCAATACTTTTGACTTAAGAATGTCCTAGCTTTCTTCTAGGGGATATCAAAGATTGAGAGGAGATTTGGGGGGATAGATTTTGTTTACTTGATTTTGTGAGAACAATATATCTTTTTTTTTTAAAGCATGACATTGATAATAATGTTTAACATTCTGAACCTACAAGTTACAGAGTAGGCTGTTTAAATTTGGAAATGCTGAACAAAATGATTGATCTACCCCCCTCTCAATCTTAGCACCTCTGGAGACAGCCTTTGGCTTGAGTAAGTAAGTTTGTTTTGCTGGGGAAAAATATAAACTTTAGTATAGAGAATATAGTATAGAATAAAGTTTATTCTGTATAAGATAAAATACAAAGAAACAGCATCAGACACTTACGGTCTTCTCCAGAGTGCCCCATGACTACGGCTGGCTCTGGAGCAAACCCCACATCGTTCAGGGCTTGAACTTTGATCAGGTAGGGAACAAAGGTTGGAGTGCCTGAGACAATGTATTTGGACACATTTGCCACCACCACTGACGTCCATTCATCGTCACCATCTTTCTGGCGCCAGCTGACTTTGTATTGAAGGCCTGGCCCATTTGATTCGAAACCATTCAAGGGCTACAAGAAAAGCCAAATAATCAGAGCTTATAAAACAGATTGGACAACCTGTCATTGGAACAGCAAATTCAATTCCCGGACTTAAAGAAAGTGAACACTGAAACTAAAATGCAAGCTTTTAACAACTTTCTCCAGTGGACAAGATCTTTTTTCATTTATGGTATGAGTCAAAGCTAGTTTGGGATCAACATTTCATAGGTTGTTAATTTCTCCTTTGAAGTTGTAAATGCCACAGAAGTCCCTCAAACCCTGGCCTCACAATGAAGGGTGGGAGGTAGGAGACTCTTAAAACTTTTCAGTCATATAGTTTCCTTTATATATATATATATATATATATATATATATATATTCCCATTTGTGTGCTGGTACCTCATTGTCAATTTTTACTTGGAGTGAAAGCTGTGCTTGCTTCTTAAAAAAAAAAAGCTGGCTTGTTTCTCTATCTTGTTTCTACATGTGCAAATGTATTTAAGTATATAGAAATATGTAAGCATCTAAATATGGCCATATAGATCTATCTAAAATTGACTTTAGGGCCTTCCTAGTGGCGCAGGCAGTGGAGCGCAGTGCTGTGAAGCTGTGCACAGCCTCTGCAGTGCCGGTTCGATCCCCACTGGCCGCGGAGCAACCCACATGGCGAGGCAGACCTCTCCTGTCAGGCCCGCTGCTCCCCTCAGCAGTGTATTTCAGTCAGTCTGTCTGTTCTCTTCCCCACTGTCTCTGATGAATCTTCTCACCCTCTCCCCCCACACATCTGGCCTGTACCCCAGTTCTTACATAAATAAAAAAATCTTAAAAAAAATAAAAAAATAAAATTGACTTTAAATTATGTAAGTAAATACACGTTAATTTTCCAAGCCCAGAAAATACAGATAAGCCAAAAAAGAGGTGGTGGAGGAAGAAGGGACAGGAAGGAAGAGAAGAGAAGAAGCAGATGTAGTAGTAGCTGGGAATCACATGGAGTGTGCTTGGGATGGTTCTCTAGGATGATGATAATACTAGCCAGCACTCACTGAACATATACATATATTAACTTTTTTAATCCTATGAGGTCAGTTCTGTTACTATTTCCCTCACAGAGGTATTTCACAATAGTGATGTTAAATAACTGGCTTAAAGTTCCACAGTCACTAAGTACAAAGTTGGGGTTTGCTCCCATTCATTTTGGTTCCAAGTCTCAAGCTTCTCACTACTACCTAATATTGCCTTTTAATTTAAGATAAATAATATCTATTTTCCCATAAAATGGATAAAATAATATTTTAACATAGGTATTACTTAAAAATAACTTTTTTCCCCAGTCTAAAATTGAAGATTTCCTATATAGCTTACCTTCCATGTAATCACCAAATTATCAGGTTCTGATCCTAGTCCTTCAATAGCCGTGGGATTTTTATCTGGTTCTAGAAATTAAGCAGTCACATACTGTAAGTTTGGGACCCTTTTCTGATTTATTTCATTCATAGAACTGTGAATGAAGAGTCACTTTACCTGCAGCTTTAGTCAAATACTGTTCAGATGCCTCACTGGGCAAGCTCCTCCCCAGGCTGTTCACTGCCATCACTCTGAAGGAGTAGTTCACGTAAGGGGACAGCTTCAACTGGGCTGTGGTCTGTGTTCCAGAAACTTCCGTTTGGTAATGCCAAAGCCCAGCCTCGTGCATTGCATCTTCATATTCAATGATGAATTCTGGCCATAACATACACATACACACACACAATAAAGACCCCAAAACAGTGAATTCAGTCACCCAAGGGGAAAGTTGCTAGGTCAATAATAGAATAATCTAATAAGAGTAGTTAAACATGAATTATTTCACTTTCAAAAAATTTCACTAGAATATTTTCATTTCAGAGTTCTATCATTATCCTCAATACTTAAGCACAAGCAGTAATATTGGTATTCTCTCTCTAACATGCTTAGTTTAGTTACTTGATACTACACTTATGTAAATGTAGAAAGATTTACTACGACACAGAGATAACTTATACAGTTAAATAGACATGCATTCCCTCTCGAAGGAGATATACTGATAATATTGGTGTTGCCAGAAGAACTGCAAGTCAGGGGTGGGAGAAAGATTTACTTTTCAGTGCATACTACTCCTGTCTCTACTGAAATGTAGTATGTACATGTTTTACTCTTGTAAAAAATTGGTATTTAGATACTTATTAATTGCCTAGTTTGTGCCATGAATTTATATGAATTATAGAAACAAAGGAAGTAGAAGTATTATGTGTTGCAGTTCTCCAGTGTTAAGTACTCACAGTTCTCTTTCAGTCTATATTAATTTGCTGGTGACCTCCGGTTCTAAATGCTCATGGTGATGTGTGAGCCTGCTAACTCTTCCTTGCAGGGCAGACTTGGACAGTCAGCTATCTCTCACTTGTCAATCTCATTCTGGGTATGACCAAGACTGACCCCTGACTTCCTCCCTAGCTGATAGTGATAACTCAGGTCAAAACCTCAAAGTTGATCTTGGCTACTTTCCTTTCATACCTTCAAAGGTCTTGTCAGCTGTAGCTTTAAAATATATACAAATCTGACCTTTCTCAGCACCTCATCCTTCTCAGCTTATTCCAAGCCATCATGATATTTTGTAAGAATTCATGCATAAACTAATACACAGGTTCTGCAATTTTTCTCAGTTCATAGTCTACTTACTGTCTGAGTTATTTTTTTCATGGCTCCCTATGGGCAAAAGGAATATTTGCCATTTCCATGTAAGTAGTTAAATCTCTACAACGTAATGAGTATTCAAGGTTTTAACAACTGAAATCCTGTACTTCTCAAACTTTGTAAACAGATTAGATACCACAGTCCTAACTTCCTTTTTCTCTCTGAGTTTCACATGATATTGCTTTTTATCACAGGAAAGGCTTTGCAGAGATAAGACATCGTCACAAAATACATAGTAATAACACCTTGAAAATGTACACCACCTCAAGCTAATATTTCATGTGGTATCTCCCAGATATCACTGTGTTTTTTAAGTATCAAGTTTAAAGTTCAAAAAATTAAAAAAAAATCACAGTGAGTTTTCTGAAGTTCCACAAAGTACTTCAATGCACATTTTGAGAAGTGATGCTATGTGCTCCCTTCTACTTCGCTTCTTGTGTTTCTACAGACTTTTCAATAGAAGAACCATTAGGAACTATTGGAAGAAAGAGACCTGAATTGGAACTTCACAGCCCTGACATCTGCATCTAATTCTGTTACCAACTGTGGGTTTGAAAATCCAATCTACTCACCAAGTCTCAACTATCTAATATACAGACTGGGTATTCCAGCACTTGATTCACCATCCTTCTCTCCTATCTTAGTGGGCAAAACAAAAAAAAAAACTAATCTATCATGCATTCTACCATGTGGTGGATATTTAAAGTGATTCTTATAGATCTTGAGCACAAAATGATAGTGTATTTGCTTAATTAACATTTTTAGCAATCACGTAGGAATGTCCCACAAAAGAATCTATAACCAGAAATAACTCCAGCACTGCAGTGAGCCCCAAATAGTTTTGTTATATCAGTAACAAAGGGGAGAATGCCAGCAAATACCTCAGTGAGGAATTTCAATTGCATATGATAAGGTGCTTCAAAATGGTCATGAAGTTTATAAGCGATAAAGCAAGTGACACCACGTACTTGTAATAGGGCTATTGTTGTCATCGCCTGGGGTCCATGACAACTGAACACTTTTATCAAGCTGATCTGTCAATTCTAAATCAAAGGGTGGATTCGGGACATCTGCAGAGCAAACACACACATCATAATTAACCATCCATCCTTATGAGGCTCTCCTTTACTCTGATGCTATTTGCAGAAGATGAGGCAAATTAAAGACACTGTACACTTAGTGGCCAATGAGCATGCAACTGAAAGGACAAGGTGTCAAGTGAGAGTGCTGGGAACACACAGGCACACCCCAGGTAACCCATCAATGAGTGCTGCTTGTCTTTTTTTCAAGGGAAACTAAATCATTCATAACCAAACCAGTGAAATGGGCATAATTGGTTCACCAGCACTCTCAGTGTCTTCTCATAAACATAAATGAGCACAAACAGAAAAAATAGTATCTAATAAGTGGGAAACAGAATAGCAAACATTGAAAAACAAATAAAGATAAATAAATATACTGTTGCAAGAAGACTCAAATTTTTTTTTTATGAAACATGCTAACTTATAGATTTGGAGCCTTCTGAAGGATGTTTATAATTTTAAGGGAATTCGAAACTTGGTGACGTTTAGGTTGCCCTCAATCATGCACACCTTAAGCAGATGCGAAGTAAGACAGGCAAATGGGGAGGTATGTTTACTCCCATGTGGCACCAGGGCCCAGACACTTCTGGGGACAAAGGGATCCCAGAAGCCTGTCTGTCCCTTCTAATGGTCCTTCTGAGATTCAGAGACTCAATGTTCCCCCTGAGCCTTTTCCTGACTTTGCTGCTGGGGGTAACTCTGGTTCTTGGGAAACCAGAGGCCATATAAAAATATGGACACTTCCCTCTTATCAGTAAAGAAGCAGTAAAAGTCTACAAAGGACTGGCATTTTACAGCATAATTAATGATATTTTGTGAAATCAAGCCAAGTTTATGCCGTAAAATTAATTTTTGTATTTATGTAATGAATAAACATGAGGGTTCTGTAATCAAAATGATTTCTGATCTAATTTCTGATTTATTTTCCAAACTCAGAAAAATCAGACAAATTGGAGTGTCCCATTTTGGTCTTTCCTTAGTGACTTGTTTTTGTTAACACACAGTGAGTCGGTTTTCCCTGATATAAAGGTCAAATGTTCTAAAAATGCATTGTTTTCCTGTGTAAATTTCTTAAAAATGGAATCCCAAAACAGTATTTGTTTTTGCAAACAACTAATAGACCAAAAAAAAAAAAACCCTAATTTGTAGAATGCTGGTATAAATAGTGTTTTCATTTTGTAAAATGTGGATGATGGTTTTTGAAAGAGGGACTTTTATCAAATGAAAGGAATTTATGTAACACATGAAATATTTAGAAATGAATGGTAATATATTCAGTGAGATGGTCCAGGGTTGTGATGAAGACATGATTTACAGCAGTAAATGGGCAACAAAACAGAACATTTGACAAAGCTTTTTTTGGTAAGGAAAATGATGTGATAGAGAAAAGAAAGCCATTTTTTTCTGCAAGCATGGAATTATTTGACAGACAATAGAAAAGAAGACTCATATTAGTTTACCGTAAATGGGAGCTGGAGTTGGAGTAGGAGCTAGAAAGAACATTAATATAAAGGATTTTAATCAAAATTAGTAATGGAAAGATATAAGATGCACAAGAAGACAGATTGAACATGACTAAGATTATAAAACTAAGCCTTATACTTAGCTGTGAGGCACAGCATTGATAAACATGCAGTAACAATTTAGGGGGAAAAAACTTCAACTTTGAGTAAAAGGAGATTATTTCCCCTGATTTTCTTTTAAAAATATCACTAATATCTATAACTTCCATTTTTCCCCAGGGTTGCTACAGAATACACCTACACAGAAATGACTGCCTCGAAGCATCTTTTAAAGAAGAAAAGCCTGGGTGTTAGATTCACCTATAAAATGGTAAAACTATATATAACACGCAAACATCTAATATGGTCAGTTTCTTTTCAACCTAATCCGGAGCAGCCACTTTTGCAGTATGCATTCTCGTCCTTACCCACGACGCTAAGCACGGCACTGGCAGAGACCATGTCCAGGGTCGTGTTGGCCACGCAGGTGTAAGTCCCACCATCATCATCGTTCACATCCACTATCGCCAAATGGTCCTTGTCAACAGTGAACCTGTGAATGCAACACATTCAGAGCAGCTGCAATGGACATCTAACCAAACTGACAAAAGGGAAAGATGATAAAGATTTGTAGCATATTAGAACTAAATTTTTCTTTCAGGGCTTTTGCATATGACTTTTTTTTCAGAGATTAGTGATTTTATTACTACTTATTTTGTAACCTTTTTTATAATTTTTTTTAACTTTACGTATTTTTTACATCATTTTTCATTTTTGCACTATGTATACATTTTCATCTTGGTTATAGTCCCCATACAATTCCCACCCCCCTCCCCCTGTTTTGATTCTACTCCCTCCTTCTCCCCACCCTCCCGTAGTGTGTCTCTGGTTTATAGTGTAACCTTTCTTTTTTTTTTTTTTTTTTTTTTTTTTAAACTTTTTTTTTTTTTTTTTTTATAGAGGCATGCTTTATTTATTTGTTTGCTGGTTTGTTTGTTTGTTTTGTTTATACATGCACTGGGTACAGTCAGAAGCGCGGGAGGGCGAGAGAATTCACCAGAGCCAGAGCGGGGAGCAGAGCAGGCAGAAGGACCGAAGTACACTGCTGAGGGGAGCAGCGGGCGGCAGGAGAGGTCTGCGCGCCATGTGGGACCCTCCTCTGGTGGCCGGGGAGCAGCCGGGGATCGAACCGGCGCCGTAGAGGCCGCGCGCAGCTTCGCAACCCAGCGCTCAACCGCTGCGCCACCGGGGAGGCCCATAACCTTTCTTTTTTTAAGTAATGTTGGTTTACAGCATTGTATGGAGAGGTGTTCACACCTCTTCAGATGCATGTGACCATGCCACACACCCATCATCCTCCAACATAGTCCATTGGGCCCCCTCTTCCCTTAATTTCACATAGAGCTAAAATGATAAAGAATGTGTATTTCTTTGATAATGATTAAAGTTGGAAAACAATTAGACTGAATTAGAAACTGGGGTGAGAAGGGCCATCATCATCTGGTCCAGTGAGCCTCTACCATCCTCTGGAGCTTCAGGTGCTTCCGTACAGATCAGGAGCATCTGAAGTGAGGAGGAGGCAGCTCCAGTTAGCCTGTCTAGAGGAGTTTCCTCAGGCTTCTGCTTCAACTCACTTTATAACAAAGTGTATATTTTAAAACAATTTCTCACTGACTGCAAAATTGTGTGCCATTTTTGTCACTTGCAATTGAACTCTCAGCAGAAAGTAAATGAGAATAGTAATCGGGTTTATCAGTAGAAACAGGAAATTTAGATCCGCAATCATCACAAAGAGTTTTTATGATGTAGCTTGTGGGCTTGAAAAATTACTCAGTGGGTCAAAAATCCATGTAAATAGGATTCATGTAAGGTTTTAATGAGGTTGCATAAATCACTGTCTTCACTAGAATTTCCAAGCTAAAGCTTTAGCTAACTTAACCTGACAGTCATTTCTTCATAGTTCCTTCTCATCTTTATCAACTTAGATCCCACAATAAAACTGACCAGTTCAAGCCCAGACCTACAGGGAAACTGTGCATATAGAAGAGAAGGCCACACAGTGCTTTTGGGAGCTATGAACAAGCAACAGGACGCCACTGTAGGCACCATGGCCATCAACAACAGGAATGATTTTCACCAGCACACAGCATTCCTTCCATAGGTGATGACGCTTGTAGCCACGTAGCTAAAAGTCACACACTCAACTCTGAACTTTGTTACACTGAGGGTGTCATCTGGGATATTGGTTTGACTGCTTTTACATTTTAAACTAAAGGACTACAACATGCTCAGAGACACGTGGAACCAGGCAGGCATACCCCAGTGCTGTGCTAGTTACAAGTCAGCATAAGCGCATACAGAAAGCTTATAAATGCTTTACCTGGTCTAGCTTTCCTTCCCTTTCTATCAGTGTTAGGTAAAATCAAAAGAAAAGTCCCTGTCCAAATAAATACCAGTGTTCTTTAAAATAATGACAAAGATTCAGGTGCACTCTGGCGATTAAAGAGATCATATTTCTGCTTATTTGTAGAATGATAATGAAAACATCTTTTGAGATGTCACTGTACAAGGTAAAAAACAATGGACAATATCCAAGGCCTGAAAGGTTTTTCCTGTCCTGAATTACATGGGAGACTGACACACAAAGATAAACAAACATTCTCAGGGTCTGATTTCAGTAGCTCAATACCTTTTTAGGTCTGAGTATTTTACAGGAAGGAGAAAATGCATGTCTATATTTTGGGGACAGCAGATGTCAGTCAGAGAAGTTAAAAACATTGCCATTAAATCACTATACGAGGGCCTCCCCGGTGGCGCAGCGGTTGAACGCTGGGTTGCGAAGCTGCCCACAGCCTCTGCAGCGCCGGTTCGATTCCCGGCTGCTCCCTGGCCGGTTCGATCCCCGGCTGCTCCCCGGCCACCGGAGGAGGATCCCACATGGCACGCAGACCTCTCCTGCCGCCCGCTGCTCCCCTCAGCAGTGTACTTCGGTCCTTCTGCCTGCTCTGCTCCCCTCTCTGGCTCTGGTGAATTCTCTCACCTTCCCGCTCTTCTGACTGTACCCAGTGCTTGTATAAATAAATACATACATAAATACAAATAAATCTTTAAAAAAAAAATAAATCACTATACGATAAACCTTCAGTTCAACAGCTGCTTAAAGAGAGAAGGAAGAGACAAGAAAGACATCGGCTTCCATACCGTCCATCACTGAGCAGCTCGCTGCTGTCCTTCAGCCACGTGACAGTGGGGATCAAGGTGTGGTCGTGCTTCACTTTGCATTCAAAGGACACTGTGCTCCCTCTTTGCACAACTGCATATTCAGGCTGTTTTATGATCCTCGTTGGATCTGAATGGTAAAGTTATTGTTATCCACTACCAAATCCTGAGAATTTGCTCCAAGTCACACCATACTTAAAAATATTTTGTCACCTCTACCTTACCTTTGATTTCTAAGTGGACTTCATTCTTTGCCATTCCTAACTTGTTCGTTGCAATACACGTATACGTTCCTGTACTGTCCTTCTGAGCCACAGGAATTTCCAAAGTTCCATTTTCATGTAAAACATAAATATCTTCATGAAGAGCACTATCTTTAGCTCCTTTAAACCTTCATTATAGAAATGATTACAACGAGAACAAAAACATCAGAATTTGAAGTCAGACATAAAATGCCATGCTCAAAGTCAACACAACTACTGACCTGGCATTATAGCATCAAGTTCACAGCCATTTGGTATCTGCACAAGTTTTTAAGTTAGGGGAGTCCATAAAGACAGATTGTAAAACCAGAGAATTCAAATATAAATGGTGCTTGAGAATTAGGGTGGCAGTACAAATACTTAAATTGCAGTTTTCATTATTAGCAATTTAAAACTTAAAACACAATAATTACATATGCTGTCACTAAATAAATTTTTAAAGTAAGTAAAATGAAACTACTTTTTTGACATTTCCTTCTAGTGTGATGTATTTATAACTGCAAGCTACAACGCTAAAGAGATTTTGATTTCAAGGTTAAAGGGTTTTATTTTTGAAAGTATCAATAGGAAAATATTCAGGAAAGAGTAAAATTAAAGCATGTATGTCATGTGTCAGACAAAAAAAGTAAGGATGGATTAGAAGTGGTGAGGCAAAGTCAACCTAGACTAAGAGTTAACCCCTTCACAAGAAGTCATTTGCACTAGCACCAGCGTTTCTCTTCTCTGTGGTAAAGATGGAGACCTGCGAGATTGTTCTTTATCCTAAAACTTGCTTTAATCTCACATGAGCCCCGCACAGTGTCTGACACCTGGTGGTGTCATTCATTCATAAATGAGTATTCTGATTTTCTTTCACTCATTTGTTTTAAGCCTCTGCCTCTCCTAGCCTTGCTCCAGCTCATGCTGAGGTAAACAAGCTAGGAAGATGAACAGGATTTATATCAGGAGGGTATATCAGTAGGAGTGGGACAGGAGAAGGCATGGACTAACGTGGCAGGTGAAAACGCAGAGGCAGGCTGGGTCTAAGCCTGCATTTAGCTCAGGTGGGAGAGGTAACAGAGATGGATACTGGTAATAACAGGTTTTGGTTTTGAGCTTACAGAAGTTCTCCCCCACCCCAAATGATGTTTTATTATCCAAGAATATCCCCCAACTCATCTCTCTGACCACCACGCATGAAGTCCCAGGTGATAACGACAGCACAAATACAGCAACCTGAAGTTTAAAAAATATTCACATATACTTCTGAGATTGATGAAGTGTGCTGCTAAATAGATTATACTTGTGAAAACAGTAGCTAATAAATAACTGAATGAATTTAATGATTTATAGTATGATGGTCTCTGCCCTACCTTTTCCCTCTCTGTTCTCTGACTAAAACCCAATATATTGAGAAATTTGAAGGCTTTATCGAAGGTAAATATTCAGAACAAATACAGCCATTACTTACCACTCAATGGTAGGCAGGGGAGACCCAAAGAAGGCACAATCTAGTAAAGCAGGCCTGTTTGCAATGACCTGATAGAGAGTGTTTGTTGCAGTAAGGATTCGTGGTGGCTCAGCTAAAAACATTTTAGAGAAAAGTAAATATTAAGGTAAAATAAACATTTAGGCCTACCCTTTATTTTACTGCATGTTGTTTTAAGGCCATTAGAGTTTACGATAAACCACAACCAATATGGCTCTTCCCATATATTCTCTATCAGACTGCACTACCAGTCACTCAATGTAGAAAAAAATGCAAGCTTGTTTCCTTTGTCTCAGGACCCCATCTCTCCCAGGAACAGTATTTTAACAAATGATTTATTTGCCTATATTTCCTACTACATTGTGAGTTCTTATAGGCAGGGAATGGGAAATTTGATGGTTTTCTCCCCAGAAACTAGCATAGTATCTGCCACAAAAATAATGGTCAAGTATATTTTTGTTGAATGACTGGTCCATCATAATCAGGGGTATCATGGGGGAGGGTAGGTGGGAATTATGAGGAACACACAAGTCAGTAGAATATAGCAGAGGGCTAATGACTAAAAAGCAGAACAAGAACTCAAAACTGTTTTCTAAACATCCATTAAGATCTAAACTTTTCAACTCCTCATGTGATTTCTTGTCATTTCAAGCATGAAAAAAAATGCCAAGTATTTGTTGGCTCCTTGACTTTAATTTTGCTTGAAAAGAGAGCCTATTACACCTCAAGAATGGAAACAAAATTCCTTGGCACCATAAAAACAATTCTCACGTAAGTTAACAAATTTGGCAACCAGGTAGTTTTGTCCAATACAAAAATACATCCCCAAAGACCAACCACTTGAGAATATGCTTGACAAAAATGTCACCTCTAAAAGTAAGGTGAAAATAAAGTTTACATTATGTCAAGTGTTCAGCATAGTAAGAGTTTAGTAAATGCTGATACTACACCAGCAGCATAAGCAGACTTCACTTCCTGGTCACCTCAAAAAAAATATGCTTGAGTAAATCATAGTTCTCTAAACATATTGTGAGTTAATAAGAACAAGTGACTTGAATGGAGGTCAAACATTATAATTAATGAATTATTTTCAAAATATCAGAATTATGAAATTGTTATTCAACTTCTCAGTTTCTAAGGTTGTACCACAGCAATATTCAATTACCAATAGCAGAAAACACTATTATCCATCAGAGGGGTTTGATACTCTCACCATCCGCAAATGGAGCCATCTACTAGATTATTTCTGGAAGAATTTGTGATTATAAAAATTTGATGAAAGAACATTGTGACCAGAGTGTAATCCCCTTTAGGACAAAGTCTGTATCTTACCCATTTCCGTATATCCTAACAGCTCCCAGTACAGCACGCTGCACACAAGAGATGTTCAATACACATCTGCCGAATGGGAAATCTTTCAGGCACTCATTGATTTCATTTGCCATGTCTTTAGAGAAAGGAGAGCTTACCCAGCACATTTACAAATGCATTTGCCAGTAAATATCCATATTCATTGGAGGCATTGCACTGATAGACCGCACTTGATCTTTCTTGAACATTTGAAAAAATAATGGTATCGCCATCAATTTTCCTGCTGGGGTCATCAGGGGCAACTGTTTGGTTGTAAAAATGAAAAAATACATATTTATTCCTTTTTGTTTAAAAATGTATATTAAACTTGTAAAGTCTGAGCTCTAAGGTACAAAAAGTAGTAAAATATATGAAGTTTATGAATATAGTAGAATATATGAAGCACCTAGGTGGTGACAGTTTTTCTTCCTCAGAGTCTGGTTACCAGTTGCATGGATATGTGCTCAATATTCATTTAGCTTTAAGTGGATTGATTCTTATAAGACTAAGTATTATTTTGAGAAATGCACTAAACAAAAGCACAAGTTAGTTGAAAATGCTGCAACAAATTCAGGAAAACATTGTCTTATTCACAAAGAAGCTGTGGTTACTTTTGAGGAGGCAAGTTAATTATCAAGAGGAGAGAGCAAAAGCTAGTCCAAAAATATTCAAACAGGGCATCTTTTAAAAATCTCTTATTGAACAGGTACATAAATAAGTGCATATGTAAATATAGAGTTAACAAGCAAACATGACAGTATTTATTTTGCAGCTCTAAAAACTCCTGAGGTTAAAGTAGAAATAAACTGTGGAAATTTTCCTTTAAGGCAGTGTTTTCAACTAAATCTCTCAAGCACTTAAAAACATGTTAAAGCCAGGATTGTCCCCTTAGAAAGCAGAATGGAACTGGTTGGGTAATAAATGTGAGAATTTGAAACTGCTGTGCTATTAGAGATAAATTCCCTTTAGTGAATGCTAGAGATTAGGCTGTGACCTTAATGTAGTTTTAAAAGTACACTAAAGGAGGTAATAGGTATCTGTCTCAGCATGTTGATCAAAATCAAAGTCAAATAACAGCACCCTTTCTCTTAAACTACTCTTGCAACTGGAACCACGTTAAGTAACCTTTGCTTTCATTCTAAACCATTCTATCTCTTTCGTAAGGAAATGCATGTAAGACTTATCACTTCATTCAGATTCCTTTATCACTTTAAAATATGAAATAGTTGGTTCACCTGTGAATTATCAATTCATTACAATAAAAAATAAGCCAAACCATAGTTATCTATCCTTGTTTTATTACACATATTCAAAGTATCATGCAAACTCATCCTGTGTTAATTTTCAAAACTGCTGCAATAAGTCATTACAATCTGAGTGGCTTGAGACCACACAAATTTACTATCACACAATTCTGCATGTAGTTGTTCAACCACAATCAATAGCTAATTTATTAAATCAGCAGAGATATTCCAGCGAGTTTAACTAGAGGTAGGGGCGTGCTGAGATATCGATTTGGCACCTGGGCTCATCCCTGCTCTTTATGACTCTAATAATGTCAAAATTGCCTTAAGGAACTTATTCTTCTAACAAGAAGACAAAAATAATTTCTAATTACATTAGCAGGTTATACACTTCAACCATGAATGACAGCAGAGGACAGAAATGTCAACCTGGCATAGGAAGTAAAGCACAGCTGTGACTGGCAGCCAGCTCCCTGGGAATGTGATGTACCTCAGGGCTCCCCATGTTCCTGGCCCCAGATCCCAAGTCTAGGATCACAGGACCTCTGTGACTCACCTGCTCTCGGTAACCCCCACCCACTGCCTCGGCAAAGCATGAAAGAGCCACATTTTCCGGAGTCTCCTTTCCTGTTACTGTTCTCAGCACTTGTGGACCAGCACATGGGTGCTCAGTGTTAAGACCCCACAGAGGACTCTCCGTGTCCACCAGGAGTCCACTCTGCCTCTGTGGACATGCCAGGCATAAGTGTAGAGCATAGGCAGAGATCTGGGTTCAATCTCCCTGGGTGGGAGTTGACTATGCAAAAAAGCTCCTCAAATTCCTTAACTGCATTGAGCTCTTAAAAATGACACCACTTTGTGCTGTTAAGTGGGTATAGAGTTTCAGTGTTGCAAGATTAAAATATTCTGATTTCACAACTATGTGACCATAGTTAACTCCACTGAACTGTACATTTAAAAATGGTTAGAATGGTGAATTTTATGATATGTTTTTAACCACAATAAAAACAAGTGTCATCACCATGACTATGGAAGTCCAGTGCGATTAACAAAATTACTAAGATAATCCTACCCTAGTGAGGACTCATTAATCAGAACACAAATCATTAAAAAAAAAAAATACCTTTATGTCTCTCACGGTTGCATTTTCCTTTGTTCTCTACTCTTCAATGTTATTCTTTTTTTTTTTTTTAAAGATTTATTAATTTATACAAGCACTGGGTACAGTCAGGAGCACGGGAGGGTGAGAGGATTCACCAGAGCCAGAGCGGGGAGCAGAACAGGCAGACTGAAGAAGTACACTGCTGAGGGGAGCAGCAGGCGTGGCAGGAGAGGTCTGTCACGCCATGTGGGACCCTCGCCGGCGGCTGGGGATCGAACTGGTGCTGCAGAGGCTGTGGGCAGCTTCGCAGCCCAGCACTCAACCGCTGTGCCACCAGGGGAGACCCTTCAATGTTATTCTTTACCCAAAAGGCATCTGATTGTGTCTGCCATTTTTCTGTTAACTGGAGCAGTTTTCAAATATTACTTTTGGCAAGATATTTAGAAGTAAAATAAAACCTTTAAGGAAGAGTAGAGAATAAGCAGATCTCTCTCATGGGGGCTTGGGCTACATTTTCCTCAAGCACTTACTAAGGAAGCTCAAACAAGCCCTGGGTCAGTCATGGTGACATATGGAGCTCAGTTGGTGCCTGGACAGAGAATGGAATCAGCAGTGTAGATACTCGAAGCCTTTGGACTCCACACTGGTTGCTGGGTGAGAGTAACTCCAGCATCCACATTATCCAAAAGAATAATAATTCTGAGACCAATCATCTTCATTTGCTATAAATGAGCACTGAAGAAAGAAAAATTCAAGAACATACACTCGCCACAGACAACGTAAAGCCCCAAAGGTGAGGTCCAGAACTGGAATGACAGCTTTCTGACAAGACTTTCTTTCTACCTAACTCTCCTGACATATGGTTGGATAAAACTACAAATATTTTCAGTATTTAAATAATGGGAACAGTAATAATAATAACTAGTGCTACCTGACATGAAAAGAGTCCTATTGAATGTTTAAAAAAATTTAAATGTATTGCACCATTTTATTTTAAAAAAGACTTTGTGAAATAGTGTATATGCATGCTGAGATGAGACACTAGAGACTGGAGCACTTCACAGTGCATGAGATTGATGCTTGGATTTTCTGAGTTAGTTGACTTGTAAACATCTGCTGAAATCTGGACATTTGGGCAATAATATACAACAAATCTCTGGATGAAGGGCTTCATCTTCAATCTTCTCTAAGGGAATGCTAACAGAGTCCTTCATTTTTGAGAAAAGGAAAGAGATGCCTTAGAATCTTGGGACTATCCTGGATGATGACTCCATCCTCCTGGCTGTTTATCATGTGCCAATCTCTCCCTCCAATGAGAGTGAATATATAACCGAGACAGGAGGCTGTCTTCTGCCCTCCATTCACTTCATCTCCCTTAACATAGTAATGGTTGCACATGTGCTCCTTGTGGAAGAATCTGAGAGCTCTACAGCCATTCACATGTGGGACAATTAAAGGATGACAAGAGGTCTTCTAAGACAGAGCCAGTAATCACAATACCCATGACCTTGACCTTAGCCATTTTCATTCTACCCCCATACACTCTCAAATGTTGCAGGTAACATGATAAAGCTAAAGTTCTATTCTGGCACCAGCTCTCTGAAGCTGTGTTCTTTTACCTGACTTCTGTAGGTTGTGTTTAAAATATTTTATGTGGTTTTGGGAAAATTCCACATTTAATACAAACTGGTTTTGCTTCAAGGAAAATTTAAAGTAACCTGGCCAGTCCTGGGAGAACAGAGCTTTGGAAGACCTTGAGATGGGAGCCCAGACACTTTTTGAGTTACTTTTTCTAGTTTTGTGAAACAGTAAGTTCCAGATCTGAAATACACAGCCACATATCAATGACTGTATTTTGCTGACAAAATCCATCTTGCCCCGCCCTTCTCCCTGACGCTGCTTCTCATTTTACAGGTTTTATGTGCACTTGGCACAGTGGCTGCAGAGGCAGAAGGATGCATCCCTGTCCTTAGGTGATCTCCAACAAGTTAGGAGTGAGGAGGCTGGGTATCTGGCAACGATTCCCTGGTACCATCTCTGTCGTGTGGCACCTGGTGGGGGTGCTGTCCAGTTCCCTGCACAGTTATGCCACAGAAGCACAGTTGTTCCCCAGCCCTCCCCTCAGGAGCTCCTTGTATGGTGGCACGGCCAGCTAGCCAGTTCATGCCTGCAGCTAGCTAGCTTCTGGGACCTCCTCCTGGCCCCTTGAGCTTAGGAACCCTGACCTAGCCAATTCTGTGCTGCTGGATGCTATACTTCTTGCTCTCTTGTGCCTCCCTCTGCCACTGTGCCATTCTCCCACCCACCCCACCCCCTGCCCCTATCACTGTTGGAAGCATCTGTGGGGCACACAACTCAGCAAACTGCAGATGAGAAACAAATTCCAGTCCAAATTCCAGACTGGTCCCCAAATCTCAAAGGCAATTATGCTTAAGGGCCCATGAATTCATGAGGCAACTATCAAACAGGGAAGAAAGGGGAGAGGCATGAGGCACGAGACTCCTCCAGCTTTTACTGTTGTTTTTTTTTTTTTTTCTTTTCTGACAGTTTTCTTCCTCATTTACTCTTTACGTTGGATCAGGGGAGTTTAACACAAGGTGCAGATGTGTCTGGTTCACTTTGAACTTAGCTGTTTAGACTGAGTGTTTAGCCAAGAGTCTCTCGGCAGAAGCTGTAGATGAGCCAGCTGCTGAGGGCAGGGGTGGAGAACAGCTGTGCCCTTGCAGTATCACCCTGCAGGGGGCCATGAGGGTGCCTGCCAGGTGCCTCAAGTATATCCCCTCAGTGATCAGTGAACGTTTATCTTGGCCACTTCACAGCATTGTGGTGTAAACACACAGCACCAGCATCATGGGGCAGCCTGGCAGGCTGGGCCCCCTCTGCTTTGCTGGCAGGCTGCAGTGTTTCTCTCCTGGAGAGAAATTGCTGGTGGGGCTGTTCTAAGATATGCCAGAGGTGAGCCACCCTGGACCTGTAGGCATTGTAGAATCCAGAGTCTACCTTTGCTCAGCCTCCTTTTTTCCTTTCAGTGGGGACTTAACTAATACTTTTGGGATGAAGGCAATGAATTGATTTGGAAATGTAATTGAGAGATTTTGTTCTAACTCTTTCTGCTCTGGACCTAATCAGATGGTTAGGAGTTAGAGTAGAAGGGCCTAACTTGTTTTCCAGAACCATTCTTCAGCAGCCCCCTATTCAAACAGGCCTCTTTCAGTGACCATCCTTCCAAAATATCACCAAAAGGAGAGCATCTATGAGTGCATTTTCAAAGCTCTTAATACAACTGTAGTTAGGAGATTCCCCAAGAGGCACTGCCGGCCAGGTTGGGAAGGACAATAAGCCAACAAACAAGGAGGAAAGATCAGCTTCATTATTTAATCTCCCCTGGTTCTTGTACCCCTCAACTACATCTCAATTTTCCCTGCTTATGATTGTGCTCTGGCTGCAGAGTTAAAGGATTTCTCTTTTCAACAAGCCATGGCTCCTGGGTTCTTCTGCTGAGTAGGTCAACTGGTGATTCCTCCCACTTGTCAGTTTTGCTGTCATCATCTCAGGTACATGTAGTCTTCCACTATTCAGCCTTCTTTAAATGGGCACAACACCTCTGAGCTGTAAAATACAGTGCCAAAGTGCTGGGCACCACCCTTCGTTCCCATGCTGTTTGCATTCCTGAGAAAATCAGATGTTGTAGCATAAAACTTTCTTTAGTTCTAGGCTTTCTTCCACTTTTTTCTCTTGTTTTTATTCCTATGCCTCTGAGGATGGCAGCAGCTTCCTGCACAGCCTCTAAGTACTCTGCAGTTCTTCCTGATCCAATCATGGTTAAGGCTGGGAGGGGAAATATCCAAACTCCATTTGCTTTATAGTATTTTCTCCCAGGAATACATTCCCTTTTACAGTAAATACAGGCTGTCTGCTTCAAGTATCTGATAACTACTGTGTGTGTGACACAAACTAATACCTAATAAATACTCAGGGAACAGGACACTAGTTCTCTGTCTAGACCCATGATTGTAAGACCTTGATGGTGAGAAGTGGGGGCAGGTACCATTTTAAATGTGCCAGCAGTTTTCAGGTCCATCTTAGGAGAAGATTGTTTTGGGGAAGCTAGTTTAATGGGCCTTTTAGTTATTCAAACGTAGAACCAATATTTGATTCTGGCTTGGAGGCAATAAGAAGCCAAGCTGCTCTACATCACGAGCTTACAGGTCATCTTTATTGTGAGTAAAGACTATCTTTGCAGATTATTATGGTATTGACTGGAGTGTGACCCTGAGGCTGGGTTTTAAAGAGAAATTGATTTTCTCTCTCTGGTCTACCAGAAGCTCTGAGCCCCAAGAAAGGGAAATTGTTCAATTTGCTGTGGGCAGCAGCTGGTGAAGGGTTGAATTGAGAAAAATGAGAGCTAGCAGGTTCTCTGTGGGTGGCCATGGCTTAGGCATCTGGGAGCAGGGGGTGTGTTATCCATCTTAAGGTTTTATTCTTTGCTTTGTTGTAATTCCCTTCTATTATTTCCAAACTTTTAACCAAGCTTTGTGAAAATGGTCTTTGCTGTGATTTAGAAGATTAACGGAAGGGTCCATGGCCACAGTTTGGGCATGTGTTCTGGGCAGCATGGAGAAGCAGACTGAAAGAGGGAGCCAGGAGTGGGTTAGGGAGGTGGCTGGATGAAGTGACACAGGCAGAGTGGGCTCTGTCAGCATTGCTCAAGGATGATCTCAGCTATACGCAGGGAGGGAAAACAGGCTAGACTGAGTGTCCTGATAAGACCCCAGTAAGGGGACACATTCTTATTTGGGTATTGAATGGGGCCATGCTCTCTGAAGACTGGAAAACTTGGGAACAGTTGGGCTGTGCTTAGAAATGAAAAAACTCTTTACATTGAAACAATGCTGTTTCTTATTCTTGTCATATTTGCTGGTTCCCTTGCTAATCTTCCCATCCATCTCCTCTGTCTGCTATGATGTTTCCATAAATCTCTTGACATTTCAAACAATGAAGATAGTCTAAACTTTTCAGTGATGTTTATTTCTCACCCTGCTTGTCATTCTTTCTGTAATAGATGCAGAAAATATTGCCAGCTCCCAGTCAACACATACCATTAGGTTGACAGCATCAACTATTCAGTCATAATAAATACCTAAGGCAATAAAATAGAAATCTAAAGGGTATTTGGTGCCTCTGTTTAGCTTATATACTGCTTCCTTCCTTAACCCAAATTATGTTATCACCATTTGATCCCTGTTGAGCTATAGCTGCAGGATATGCCTTCCCAAAATAGTCAGAGAAGCTTTTCCTAAGATGTCCAGAGCAGACACCTGTGTCTCCTTGTTTTCCTAAGATGTCCAGAGCAGACACCTGTGTCTCCTTGGCAGACACCTGTGTCTCCTGTGGAGCTAAGGCAAATGCAGGTCCCCTGGGCTCTGAGACAAACTGCTATCATTACCTTTGAGAATGAAGAGTACCCAGATTTAGGTTCATTTCTATATGGAAAAATCTATCTTATGACAGGACAAACATCTAGATCATCTAAGGTTTTGTCATGAGTTACCTTCTCTTCATCATGTGAGATGCCCCCTCTCCTCTTGATGCACCAGGCAGCTATCTTACTCTTTAGTTCAGGACATAAACCCTCGGTCTGTCTACTGAATTGAGAATTTAAAGTTATGTAAATTCTTCATAAATGCCATTTAAATTGGTCTTTTTTTCTATTAATTTTTGTCAATTTGTTTGCTTGACCAGCCCAAGAAGAACCCCGAGGGGTAGGCAAGTTTCCCCCCTGCGCTCCCATGTAGCTATATTCTAAAAATATACTCTAACAAAGCCAATCACAGAAACTTACTTTCTATTGGGACTCCATTCGATAACCAGCTAATTCTGGGCTTGGGGTTGCCATTAGCTCTGCAGAACAGGGTCCCATCCTCTCCTGGGGACAGCACAAGATTTTGAGGTGCCATGATCCAGTATGGGGCCGCTTAATTGAGGAAAGAAAACAATCTGAATCAAAATTAAGTATTCTAGCTAATTTCATACATCAAGTTATTTTAAAAATAAAAATAATTATTTTGTAAAACATTTGCTTTATATTTGCAAAAGGATGTTTTAAAAGACTAGTTGACATACATGTGTATTTTTTAGACCCTTATTTGTCTTGTTTTACATAAAATTAATCAGACAGCAAAAAAATAACAGGTGTGTCTGAGGTTTAGAGTAATTTACAGGTATAGATAGGGTTAACAAACATGCATTTAAAATCTCAACCCCATAGAACACATACAATTATAAAATTAGGAAGCATTTTTAAAAAGCTTCATTTGTGAAAGGTTGCAAAGTTAGTATAGTGTCCCCTAAGCCCTTTCACCCAAACTTTTCTAATATTAACATCTTCACCATGATACACAGTTAGCAAAACAAGAAGTTAACATTAAATTTGCAACATACATTATTTGAATTGCCCCTTTTTCCCACTGTCTTATTTCTGCCCCATGATCACACTGTGTTTATATGTCAAGTCTCCTTCCTAAGTTTCCTCCAATCTTGTAGTTTCTTTCTGTTCTCTTGTCTTTCATGACTTTGAAATTTTTAAAGAGTATTGCCCAATAGGTAGAATATCTTTCAGGTTCAGTTTATTTGATGTTTTCTCATGGTTAGACTGAGGTTTTGAGTGATGGACCTTTCTGATTGCATCATATCAGGGATTACATGGTATCATATGACTTATTACTGGTTATGTTAACCTCAATCACTTGGTTAAGGTGCTATCTGCCAGAATTCTTCACTGCAAAGTCACTATTTCCTGTCTCCATAATATAGTCATTAGAAGTGAGTTACTAAGTCCAGCCCATAGTCAAGTTCCATCTCTATGAAGGAGGGGTAGGAAGAATTTGTGAATTTATATTAAAACTGCCCCACTAATTTTCTTGGGAGAGGGGTTCTATGCAAATATCCTATTCTTTCTTAAAGTTTCACCCACTAATTTTAGCACTCATAGTGCATCTTTCCTACAGCAGCCAGGGAGTCAAAAGGTGATTTTCTATTTCCCGCATTCCTTCTATATGTTTTGAGATTCTACACAGAAGATTTAAGGGAGCAAATTTTCAGCCTGATTTAGATATACTACAAATAGCAAAGAGAACAGAATAAAGGTTCCTTGAATGTTGACATAAATTGACATTTATTATTATCGAACAATATCATCAAAAGCATATTTAACTGAAGATTTAGTTAAATTGCTCATTAAGCCAAGAATAATGCACTTTAAACAATGATATACCTTTAACTGTGACAGAAATGGTATGATGGATGGCTCCTAATGCATTTTTTGCTATACACTGGTAATTTCCAGAGTCTGCTTCTGAAACCTGAGTGATCTGCAGAGTTTTCTTAAAGTTCCTATAAAATGTTCGGTTGGCTGGCAGCGTTCCATCTTCTTTTATCCAGTAAATAATAGGAGTAGGCCTGATAGGATAAATAAAAAATGATATTACCTAAAAAAAGTTTCTGTGTGACTGCTATTAAGGGTGAATTTTATGCAAATTTATAACAATTCTTTATATAAAGATCATGAGAAACATAGATACGTTAACTAGCATCAGACTTTTATTTCAAAGCTCAGAATCTTATATTTAAATTGGTAAGCTACCATTTTCACATCATCAGAATTGCACTAATTCATACTACACCATAAACACTGACTTCAGAGATTGAGAACTGTAGTGAGATGCAGTGAAAATTCTGGCATGAGTTACTTTGTCAACGGGACCTAATATTTTCTTCAAAGTTGTTATCTATGGGGAACTCTTGGGAATTCTACAAGAAGGCACTATGTCAATCGAAAGAATTACCCTGAAATGAATGATAGTTATTTCTTATTGGCTAGAGTTAAAAATGTATAGAAAAGGAGCTAATACATATATGTTTGCATGTGTATATATATGTATATATTTGTGCCGGTGAACTTTAACACTAATCACATTTCCATATTAACTGGAAGATTTTTTTCTATTTTATAACAGGCCATTTGACAACGAGAATGAAATAACTGAAGGAATAGCATTCTTTTTAAAATTGTATTATTAATAATATCTTAAAATTTATACTAGTTGATAAGAATAGATAAAACTCATGTGTTACTCATACCATTTCTTACCTACTTGTTTTTCTTATTAAATTATAACATAAAGAGCCAGATGAAAAACTAGAAGTGAAAAGACTTGTAGTGAAAAGAACTGCTTCAAATTCCCAGCCCTGTACTGAACCTGTTTGCTCTCTGACCTTGGCTCCCTGACCTCTGTGGACCTCAGTTTCCTTAGTAGACTTAATAGGGATAATAATGTTTGTCTTGATCTAATGACTTTAGAATATTTTCCTGAGGGTAAAATAAATATCGATTCAGTGCAAACATTTATCAAGCACTGAATATAAACCAAGCACTGAGTTGTGGATTGGGAAGGGATAAATGAAAAAAGAATGGCCCAGGCGCTCAAGAAATCACAATATTTGTCATTAGAAATGCAAGTGGGATTAATTAATTGTGGAATTGTCTGATTTCTTTGATTGCATTAAAATAAGTGAACATATATTTGATGAAAACCTTCTAAAACAAAACATGCTGAGAAAAAAAAAAGAAATAGAAAATGTGAAATCATTTCGAAAAACTAAAGATATTATCAGTGGACCATGATAGCATGATATAGTGCTTCCTTACAGTCAGATAAATCCACACCTCATAGGCTCTGAAGGTGAGTGGGGATAGGAACTTAACATCATTGCTTACAAATGACTAAGTCATAAATTGTTTGGGAAGCTGACTAATCCACTGAGCAGTAGTTAAGGATTAGAAATACACTGATTCTATGAGTCTCATACTTATTGCCTCGTATGTGATAGAGCCTCATTCTTAGTTTTACAACATTTATGCAATTTTCAAACACTAATCATATTTTAATTTTTTATCTAATGTGTCATTCGTGGAGAGGGAATCACTAATTGTGAGAACGAATATCTTAACTTTCAAAAAGGTTAGAAGTTAGTAGAGTAAGCCAGTTTTCCATACAATGAAGGTGAAAGTTGCAGGTGTTTTTTTGTTGGTGGTGTTATATTTTTGGTGGGGGAGATGGATATTTAAAAAGTCTTTAAGGAGATTTTGCTCATTTTCAGTTACTTGGTAAACTCAAGGGCGTGTAGTGTGATTTCCCAACATGGCCAAGAGAGGGCTCCAGTTGCCTCTTGAGACAAAGGTACTCCTTGAGGCTAATTCTGAGAAGGAATGTGAGTAACCATGGCAAGGGTAGCACAGATCACAACTTAAGAGGCAAAGTGTTTCTGAGATGTCATTCAATGTTTGCAGCAGAGGAAAAGTACCAATAGTACTTGTTCTGTGCCAGGCATAAGAGGGAACTAAGTAGAAGCTTGCCTCTCATGGGTAACTAACGTAATAGTTGTTCTTGAATCTGAGCAAGGCGTTCCTGAAACTCCTGTCAAGGGCACAGGGCTGTTGGGGATGACATCCATTTGGATATGTGCACATAGGAGATATCTGCAAAGAAGTGGGACTTGGCCATGTGACTTTCCAATAGGAAGTAATGTAAGGGACAGTGTCAGCTCCATGGCTAAGTGTAGGCCCTCAGAGGCCATGTCTGCTTCTGATGCTAGGAGAAAGGCCAGAATTAGATCACTAGAAGGATATGAGAGCTCATGATCTGCCCAGCTAACACAACGGATGTCACATTGTGAACCCACAACTGAGGCCCCTGGCAGTGCAACTGGAATGAGTCCACGATAGCACAACTGCCTTGCAGACCTATGGACAACTGATTGATAATAGTTGTTGTTTTTAAGCTGCTAAGTTTATTTATTTATTTATTTATTTTTTAAAGATTTATTTATTTATACATACAAGCACTGGATACAGTCAGAAGCACAGGAGGGTGAGAGAATTCACCAGAGCCAGAGCGGGGAGCAGAGCAGGCAGAAGGACCGAAGTACACTGCTGAGGGGAGCAGCGGGCGGCAGGAGAGGTCTGCGCGCCATGTGGGACCCTCCTCTGGTGGCCGGGGAGCAGCCGGGGATCGAACCGGCTCTGCAGAGGCTGCGGGCAGCTTCACAACCCAGCGCTCAACCTCTGCGCCACCGGGGAGGCCCAGCTAAGTTTATTTTTTATCTTTGCCATATGACTGTGTTATTCTAAATTCTTCCCCCCCTTTATTGAAATAACATTGCAGTAAAACATTATGTAGGCTAAATATAACGGTATCAATCACTGAGAATGAACATGTACATATATTACTTTAATGTATGTATATTACCACTGAAAGTTCAAATCTTTATCACCATAGTTCCCTTTTTCCCAATTTGTCCACCCTCTTCCGCTGTCCTTATAACCCTAACTGGTCTTACAGTCTAAATAGTTATTTTTTATTTATATAGTTCATGTTTGTTTTCTCTGTATATCACACAGGAGTGAAATCATATGGTGTTTCTCTTTCTCTGGCTTATTTCATTAAGCATAATTTCCTCCAGGTCCACCCATGTTGTTGCAAATGACACGACGTCATTGTTTTTTATAGCTGAATAGTATTCCACTCCATTCCATGTGAGTGTATTTATGTGCATATCTATCCCACATCTTTATTCATTTGTCAATAAATGGGCACTTGTGCTGTGTTAAAGCTGCTAAGTTTTGAGGTACTTGTTACACAATAGTAGCAACATAATGCATCCTAAGTATAATCACAGCAAATCATAAGATGATTACTAATACTTATTTGTTTTAAATTTTTTTATTAATGAGGTGCCATTGTTTTACATCCTTGTTAATACTGATACTTATTTCAAAACGAACACATTACATTAACAAAATATTTAACAATGAGAGTCATATGGCCTATTTTGGAAATAATTATAAACTTTTTCTTAATGCTTGATGGAACCAGTGTAAGACAATGACTCTTCCTATGATACTCATGCCTCTCTACCAATCTACTATGTCTTTGTAAGAAACATATATCAGGGCCTCCCCGGTGGCGCAGCGGTTGAGCGCTGGGTTGCGAAGCTGCCCGCGGCCTCTGCAGTGCCGGTTCAATCCCCGGCTGCTCCCCGGCCACAAGAGGAGGGTCCCACATGGCACGCAGACCTCTCCTGCCGCCCGCTGCTCCCCTCAGCAGTGTACTTCGGTCCTTCTGCCTGCTCTGCTCCCCGCTCTGGCTCTGGTGAATTCTCTCACCCTCCCGCGCTTCTGACTGTACCCAGTGCATGTGTAAACAAAAAACAAACAAACAAATAAATAAATAAATAAATGCCTCTGTTTAAAAAATAAATAAATAAATAAATAAATAAATAAATAAATAAATAGGAAACATATATCAAGACAGTAAGTGTTGACTCACAGTCCTTCTGCAATGCACTCTAGTGAAAGGACATTTCCTCTTAATTCCTCTTTGTTACTTGCATTGCCTTCTGGAGTTAAAAATGTTGGTGGCCGTTCTCTATTTGATTTAGCTGCAAATAAGAAAATCAATATGCATTAAACATTATGAATATGCATTTCTAGAACACAGTTTACTGTCTAAAAATCTAATCCCTTTTCAAAACCACTTAACATTGATTGTGAAATTTATCAAACTACACATACACACTTTGTCTCACACACAGCCATCATTCACTCCATTAGCCAGGAACAGAAACAATTTTGGTCACATAAGCACTAAAAGGAAGGGTGAGTTTGCTTTTTGCACATTTCCTTAATTTGGATTAGATTTTCATGAATGTTCAGTATGTTGGCATAATTTCAAAATGCAGACAGAGAAAGAAAAATCATTTTATCAAACTACCCATCCTTTAAGATTAGTGCTCAGGTCAAAGCCAAAATTAGCTATCTTCTGGAAGACGTTAAGGTTTTCTGAAAGATATGATTATGAAAGGGGTATTTTGGTTTATACTAGGTTTACACATCAAGCCAATTCCATTGATTAATCATGTAAGTAAATCTGAGGTGCATGGCTAACACCTCAAGATACCCAAATGCAAGGTTTATGGAAAACACAACAACAGAGTTACTGACACAGGTTGCCCAATTATAGGCCACAAATGAAGAATAATGGTGGAGTTAAATAAGTTGAAATTGGTTTCCTCAGTGAAAAAATAAAGAGGGCTCAAGTCAAAGATCTAGGGAAATTTACACAGGCAAGCTTCTTTTTTTATAGAAACCTTTCCAAAATGTGCCCTTATCTTCTTGGCCTCTCAAAAAGCTTAAGTAGAAATGATACTGTCCAAGGTTCAATAGACTGGCTGCTTTCAGTACTTCAATGCATTACCTACTGGATGCTCACAAAAACTGACTGAAAAGGTAAGGCATGAATTATTCTCACTTATTAGAAGAAAAATACCAGACAAGGTATTACTTAAGAGAAACTAGAATTTTCCTAAGATTATAGAGATGGGGAAGGAAGCTTACCTCTCTGAAATCACTTAGGGAATGGCTTTGAGGTCCATATTCCTCAAGATTATATTAAGGTAAAATAAATAGGGGCAGGGGCTGTGGCTGTCTACCCAGATTCTTGATGGAACCTTAAAATTTTTATTTCATATCTCAAGGGTGAAAAATTAATAGAGCAAAATTCTGCATTAGAGATAATTAAGAGCACCCCATATCCAGAACCCATTACATGCATTGATAGATTCTATATTGAGAGCCATATTTTCCTTAAGGAAATCAAATTCTTTTCTTTTTAAAAAATTGATGTTAAATGCTCTAGTTTTAAAAAGATTACCCCCATTTAAGATAGTGACTCAATTTTTAACAAAACTAGGAAAAATACTATTATTAATTATATAGATAATGTCATGTGAAAATAAATGGGAAGTGTGATGATTTACTATCAAAATTCACTTAATGTTAGTTGCTAAACACTACTAAAGCTTTGATGAATTAGCATTACAGCAGCTTAATGTATCTTGCCAATTCTTATTTAGTTCATGAGACAAGTTTATGAACAAGACAAAATAATGAAATATACAATTCTGAACATACATAAAAGATTATTCCAAACTATGTGAGATGATTCTATACATGAGAACAGTTCTTATATAATTTTTATTATTATACACACAACATATAAATGTTTAGTGACATATTTGAAGTCTCAAATTTTATAAGAAACATACATTTATTTTCATGGTATTAAACATATAATTAGGAATTTCATAAGGAAATAAGGTTAAATAGCCATGGAGGTGAAGTTAGTGAACTAAATTCTACAATGAGGAAGGAAATATCAGTTACAATCACCATAACTCACCACCATAAAACTCAGTGTCACTCAAATTAGCAGCTATAGTGTCATTCAATTCATCCACTGAAATAAACAGAATAATATGAAGAATGCACAAAAGTAGGGGAGAAAGATCAAAAAGTACTGGGCAACAAAAGCAAACGTATACAGCAAGGCTGACCAATTGTCAACCTGATCAAGTGAAAAACAGTGCTTTACATTGTACTTGCCTAACTCATAATTCACGCAGCCACCCCCAACCAGTAAGATGTGAGCATATAAACTCAAGCTGCAGAACTACCAATGACGGCATAAAACACAGGCAAATGCTCAGAACACCAAGCAGATTCAGAAAATTATCATGAAAACAGTAAGGGCACTAACAGCAAAAAAGGTAAAATAATGCATTTAAGGTGTGTGTGTTCTTTATAACACATGCCAACACATTAGCAACTATTCACAGGTAGTTTCCAGATCAATAAACCTGTTTACTTCAAAGTGAACAGTATTTAATAGGTAACATATCTTGCACATATTTCTAAACATCACTGAAAGAGAGATTCAGGAAGCTGAACTCTTACCTGAAATCACCTTCACAGAAATAGGTTGCTTCTGCTGTATGGTTTGGGTGTGATTAAATCTGGCATAACAGATATAGTCTTCACGGGTGTCCTCTGGGAGAACATTGGAAAAATATAAGTCTCCATTCAGACCTTGGGAAACCCTCTCACTTTGTGGGAGTCTTTGAAAGGCTAGAGAAAGGCAGAAAGATATCTAGGTCATTCCAGCATAGAATGGCCACTTTCTAACTTAGCAAGACAAATGCATCTATGAATAGTTGCGTGAGATGCACTTTTTTTCTCTATAAAATTCTCTCAGCAAAAGCTAACAACTGAAAGGAAAAAAAAAAAAAAAAACAACACATTAAAACGCCAAGTGAGCCTGCCCTGAACCCAATTTCTCCGGGGTGGGGAAAGAGATGAGATTGGTGTGTTGTGCAGTGAAAAGTTTTATTAAGCAAGTATAATCCAAAAAATGCTACACATGAATTTAATCTCAATTTGTGACTTTTCCTAGAATTTATTTTATTTTACATCATTCTTCCTTTTTGTACAATGTATGCTTTCTCCTCTCAGGTGTAGTTCCCATACAATTCCCACCACCAATTTGCCTGTGCACCACCACCATAGTCCCTTGTGCTCTTTCCTGCCCTGTTTTGATCCCTCTTCCTCCCCCTCCCCTGCAGAATGTCTCTGATTTATAATTGCTTGTTAATTGTTTTTTAATTTATTATAATTATTTTTTTCCTGATCCCTTGTTTATTGCAGCGCTATTTTCCAACAATTTAAATTAGCCTCTAATTGTTAATCACTCACAGATCCCTCCTCTCAGAAACTGTGTTAAGGAAACATGTTAATGCAGGCTGCCTCTACACATGTGGTCAGAAACCAAATACCTGGGAGTACACCTAACAGTCAGCTGAGGCCTGTGCTAGGCATAGGGCATTGAGGGTCCCTGTCTAGCTCAGTTCATGATCTAACTGAAGAACCAGGCAGCAAGTGTTCTATGTCGACAAGGCACAGTGACACAGTGACAGGGCAGAGCTCTGCGTGCTGCGACGTGTCCCGCAGAGGCCTCCCTCACCACCCAGGCTTTCTCTTTTCTGAGTTGTCACCTTCTACTATGCAATGTATTTTCTTTGCCACACTGTCTCCCGACTAGAATTCAAGTTCCAGGAGGACAGAAGAGTGACACCTGCTTTCTCTACTGTTGTGGCACTGGAGCCACACTAGGCCCTTACCAGGAGCTCCATAAATATTCATTGGAAGATTAAATGAATAATTATCAGCACGCTGAACTTCCGTTTCTTTTTTTAAGGATTTGTGCATTGTATTGAAGGTTAATATACAGCCATAAAACATCATAAAAGGTAAATATGTTCAAAAGTTCTTGACAAAACTTCAAGACATAGAATCTTGAAGATCTTTTTACAGATCTCAGTAGCACCTTAAAGATAATACAAATAGCGCTATGTTGGGTCTGTGTAAATAAAATAACAAACACCACTATAAAACTTGAATTATAAAGACACATGGAAGGAAGACTTTAAGGAAGCACTATATCATGTTATCATATTCCACTAGTAATATCTTCAGTTTTTCAAAATGATTTCCAATTTTCTACCTCTTTATATTTTCAGCATGTCTTATTTTAGAAGCTATTTTATCAAATATACGTTCACTTATGCTTTGTTCTCTCTTGATCTCTTTTCTCTTTTTTCCTTGATAATTATGCTCTCACTTTCCAGTTTTATGCCTGACAATTTACTTCCTCTTGGGTCCAGTTCAGGGATGGAGAGAGGATTTTCTACACAGGGAGCAAGGGTGGGGTGGGGGGACCACCGATGTATGGTGGATTTCCCCTGGGCTGTTGAACACCCATGGTGAAGCTTCTGACTCAGTTCACAGAGTCTACCCTGGGAGAGTTCTTCAGCTCTGAAGTGAAAGCTAGGAAAAGTAACCATCACAGGGGCCTTTGTCTCCTGGAGGTCTGCATTGTGCTCCTTCTACAGAAGGTGTCTTAGCTACCATGTCACAAGATGCAAGACTATAGGTAAAAGCTAGTAGCTCCCTAACGCAAGAAAAGGCCAGGAAATATGGAGCCAGAGCTTGAAGGACCATTGCTTAAACATGTTACCAAGTTCTTGATCAAGATGGGGGTTTGGTTGGCAGTTGTAAATTTGTGGTTTTAAGCTGGTAATGCCTGGGACAAAGGTTGTTTTAAAAACCAGCTCAAAAAATAATGTACATTTATTTAATGACTACAAGAGGTTAAAGATAAGCATACATTTATTTCTCCCATTTCATCTGTTGCATTTTATTATTACTATTATTATTATGTTTGTGTGTGTAGAAGAATTAGGATGTAGGCCAGAGATATGGAGTGAGAGGATTCACCAGGGACAGAGCAGAACAGGTAGATTTACACTGCTGAAGGGAGCAGTGGGCAAGGCAGGAGAGGTCTGCTGCACCATGTGGGTTAGCTCCCTAGCTGGATATCGAACTCAAGATATAGTGGTGACAAGGCTGAGACTCAACACCCTAGGCCACCAGGGAGGCCCCCGTTGTATTTTATTATTGATGGGTGATAGGAGAGCAAATGAAAGTGAATGGGACTTCACGAGGATGATAATGCTTTGCTCTCTGAGTTCCTTTGTATATTTGTAAAAATAATATATGCAGATAGTAATAAGTTTATAAAATCATTTTGCAAGAAGAAAATGACTTCAGAGTTAGAGATTTGAATTTTTTCTCATATTCCAGATGCAATTTTATTCAAAAGGTCCAGATGCTTTGTCAACAGCCTCCAATTATGTAAATGGCATAGCCAGCAGTGCAATGTGGGAAAAATCACATATCGGATGATTTTGAGATTTTTATATGTAGACGTCTCTTTATTAAGTGGAAAGGTAATCATTTCTGAGTAAGAACAAAGAACCAAACTGGGTCTCATTTTAGTAGTGACATTTGCAGATTGTTATTTTTGAAGCCATACATTTTACATTTTACTTGTACTCATTTACATTTTGTTACTTATTCTTACAGATTCTGCAAAAGCTGTGATGTAATCATAGGAAAATAGGCTTGTGCCTTTATTCATTTACATATTTATTTTCTATATTGTGATATTTTCTCTGAATACTTTCATACAAATGTCAAAAATGGAAATTAAACATTACAGATAAATTTTATGTTTAATAGTAAGTATAGCCTGTGATTTTAGAGAAATATGTATCACCGAGAATAGAATACATTCCCTACAAATATTTTGCATTCATTACCGCCATTCCATGTGGCCACATGTGACTTCCATGTGGCCAAATTCCATGTCATTTCTAATTTTCAAGTTGTCTGACCTCTCAGCAGCATTTGAAACACTTGATTGTTCTGTCCTTTTGACACTCTATTCACTTCCTCCCGGGGGCACCCCTCTCAATTTGTTCTTTTCTTACCTCAGGGCCTGTTCCTTCTCACATCCTTAGCTGTTTTCTCCCTAAGTGCTGAGTCTCCAGAAACCCTGGCCTCAGCTCCCCAGGCTCTGCTTCTTTCCTCTTGTACTCTCTTTCTCCACTCCCTCATCCTGCCTCTCAAAAGCATCTAAGCACAGATACTCATCAGTGCTGACAGAGCCCAGAGTCTGCCTTAATACAGCTCTGACGCCTGCTGGGAACTCCACATCAACGTCCACGGCCCTCTCACACCCAAGCCCCCAGTTTCCTCGTCTCTAAGCAGAACCATGTGCTACTTCTAAGGAAACATGCTAACCTACTAGCCCAGGAGCTTTGGGGGAACAAATGCAGGGTGGAAGAGGCAGAGAAACACTTCCCTCAAGAATGGGGACGGGGGCCTCCCCTGGCGGTGCAGGCGGTTGAGCACAGCACTGTGGAGCTGTCCACAGCCTCTGCAGCACTGTTTCGATCCCCGGCCGCCAGAGAGAGTCCCACATGGCGTGGCAGACCTCTCCTGTTGTGCCTGCTGCTCCCCTCAGCAGTGTATTTCATCAGTCTGCCTGTTCTGTTCCCTGCTCTGTCTCTGGTGAATCCTCTCATTCTCCCATGCATCTGGCCTATATCCCGGTTCTTGTATAAATAAATAAATCTTAAAAAAAAAAAAAAAGAATGGGGACAGTGTGGACAAATGGCACAATATCTAATGTATCAGTTCCCTGTGCTTTGGTTTCCTTATCTAAAATGTGGAAGGGGCAGTTGGGCATGCTTCAGAGGCTTGCTGTTAAAAACTAATGGCATAACCTATACAAAGTCCTCTGCAAAGAGACTAGCACTTAGCAAATGTCCAATAAATGTTACCTGTTGTTGAGATTAAAAAATAAAAAAATCAGCATGGAAAAATATAACACCTTCAAAACACTTGGAGTCCTCCCTTCTATGGAGTTTCTGCTGTTTCAGAAAACAGAAATTTCATTTTACCACTTGTTTATTCTCCAGACTTATAATTCATAATTCTCTGTAAGTCCTCTGTTTCATTCCGCCCCCCCCCCTCCACCCTCCCATCACCATCCCTACTCCAAAAAATTCTGGAGAATCTGCTTTCAAGATAGATGTGGAATCTGGGCATTTTTTACCCACTTGCCAAGTTCGAATGACCATCAACTCTTGCATAGCAGTAGCTTCCTACGGGTCTTCATCCCCTTCTTCTCTAGAGTGTACTCACAAGAACTGAAGTGATGTTATTCTATCCACTAAATTTCCAGTAAAGTCACTGTTTAATGTCTCAGAGCAAAGGTCAAACCAGGTTTACCTGGTCTGCACACATGGTCTCCCTGCAGGTCTGTGCACACATCAGGGTGTTCCTGCCATGTGTGAAGGCACCAGTATTCTTTTGCCCCCAGATATTTAGGGGCAGGCCTTACTCTCTTATTCCTTTAGGACTCTGCTCAAAACTCTGCTTTATTTTTTTTCATAGCACTTTTGCCAATGGACACCTATTTTCCAAATTCACTTAATCTTCCTCATCCTCCACCCCTATTTACTTGACTGCAAAGAATATAAGTTCAATGAGAAGGGGGATTTGGTTCATTTAGACCAGTGCCTGGTACATTGCAGGTGCTCAATTAAATTAAGTGAATTAATGAAAGTAAATGTTATTTCATTCAGTAAGCATTCATTTCCCCAGGCATGTGTAAAACATTTCACAAACATTTCTTGAATCACAAGAAGTAATATTATGATGGCAAATAACATAAGACTTATGAAGAAAGAAAGTTTATACTTTCAAAACTTACAATTATCCATCCAGAATATTATAGGTGGTGGTAATCCAATTGGGGGTCTGCAAGGAAGTACTAAAGAGTGGCCATTTTGAAGTATTATTGGTTCAAGTTTTTCTTTGGTCCACAATGGTGATCCTGTGATATAAAACAGTATCTTCTAAGTTAATGCCGTATTAAAAAAAATTGAAAGCACTAGAAAGAAAGGCAAACAGCTTTGGGGCAAATGGTAACTCAGGACATGTGTATGTTAAAATAATGAGAAAATAATTCTTAAATACAGTGTGAAATTAAAAAAATGGCAACTTTCATGCACTGCCAGTAATAGCATAAATTCAGAGTCAGTGAACCATGTCTAAGAACTAATGTTAAACAGATAATTAAGAAGAGACATAGTATTTTTACAAGTATGTTCTTCATAAAATAATGGAAAATAAACAAACAAATAAATGTATGCCTATAGCTTTGAATAGCAGAGTATTACATATATGTATACTTATTTATAAGACTAAGAAGACAGAAAACACGACATGTTGATAAGTCAGGAAAGATTATAAAATTGTAATTCAGAATAAGCTTGTTTTAAGCACATACTTACATAGATACAGATCTATCTAGAAAAAAATGGAACGAGTATCTGAGCAGTACTTATTTCTTTGAATAGAAGAGTTCACAAGTAATTTTTATATTTCGATTTTGTTTATTTTTAAATAATTTTTCTATAATGAACATGTTATACAAGTAATAAAAACATTTTTAACAATGACCAGAGCTGTAAATAATCACTTTTCTTTAAGGACATACTCTGGAAGTCATCAAGAAGATTTGGGTGCTGACCACTGCAAAGAGAGTCATTAACAACAAGGTGGTGAGGTCACTGTATCACCAGTGAAATTTTTAAACAAAAATGTTTAAAACAATACTTACACCTCAATTATCTGGCTATGGATGTTCATTTGTATACAAGATGGTGAGAAATAATTAGATCAATTATTACAGACTTGTATAAAAGACACATCGGATTGGAAAACCATTAGGCTGACAAACATGTTTGGTAAAGTGGAAAGGATCATTAATTTTCATGCAAAACAAAGAGTATTGGAACCAATGTCACTGCTTTTTTGTAATAGCATTTGGATAATTAATAGATGCTGAGTCTTGGAGCAAAATCTGAAAAAGGATTTTTGTTTGGCCGACGAGTCCTACTTACTAGATGGTCGGACAACAATGTTGTTGGAAATTGCAGCTCCGCGTTCATTCCTGGCTGTACACTGATAGACCCCTTCATAGGCCTCTGCTTTCCCTTCACTCATGATGTTTATTATGAGGGTTCCTGAGCCAGGCTTCATCGTGACAAGAGGGTCTTTATCTATGTCAAAATGGGTCCCATTTCGGGTCCATGAGAAGCTGCGCAACACAATTAAGAATTAAATTTGTTGAAGGTTCAGAAGAACAAGATGGCTTACTCTTTAACAAATTCCCAGCAGTTTTATGGGTTTCTAGAAATAGTTGTTAGATTTTAATATTCAGTAGAAAAGTAGTAGGCACCATACCTAAAAGGGTCATTGAGTCATGACTTAGAAAAGTCATACATCTTAAGGTACAAGCCTTTATGGGAACGAGTCAAGATATGAAATCAACTTGGCAAACCGATTGCCCATCATATTTCAAGGAAAACACAGGAAGTGATCTCCCAGTCACATACTCTTGGAGACTGATTAGCATTTTTATTGTGAACTCCATTGTCCAAAGAATTGAAAACCTGTCTATAAAAATCTGCTCTGGACTAAAATATGACAAGAAAATTCCCAAAGAGTACTACGTAAGTGTATGTTTACAAGCGATCAGGCAAGTTTCAAATTATCAAAATGCAAAGTGTATGCCAAGAGGAAGGGAAGAAATGTGAGTTCAAAGGTGTTTTAAATGTTGGTTATTAAAAGTAGTAATTTCATATGAAATATATTTTTTAAATTTTTAATTCTAGAGATATGAATTTCCTAGGAAATATTTCAAAATCTCAACTGAAATGCTCTGTTTTATTTATACAAAAGATTGAATTCTATAAAAGTCATAGGGCTCGTATAATTAAATACTTTAAAACTGGTCCCAAGTCAACAAGGACCATGCTCATACAATGGCAGGGATCTCCAAACTGTACTGTGTTTAGGCCCGGTTAGATATTTCTTCCCACTCTGTGGCCTTACAGTGGTGGTTGTTCACAACTGCTACGGTGAGAGGTAGTAGTTGGTGCTACTGGCACATAATAGGTAGAAACCAGGGATGCTGCTGACTATCTTACAATGCATAAGACAACTCCTGTCCACACAAAAAAAATTACCCCGCTCAAAAATATCAATTGTGGTGGGGTAGAGAAACCCTGCCTTACAGAGTGTTCAGTAGTATTTAAGGGTAAAACTTAAGGGAAATTCCATCAGAGGAGAGCACCAAAGTGTTTGAGTGGAAACCCTAGTAGAAACTCTATTAGAAACAGGGTTTCTAATAATGTTTTGATTCAAACCTTTGATGGAAGTGTCTGACATACTTGATTTAGCACTTTTTTTTTCTGAGGTACCAGTCTGTGACAGTTTGAATAGGCTACTAATAGATAAACTCAGAAATAAACTATGTAGGAACTCTCACTTCTTTATTGTTTAAAAGTCCACATTATGGATTTTAATAAAAAACCCAACTCTCCCAAACACCCTTCTATTATTGGACATGTGACAGGTCATGTAATTAGCTGTGGAAACTTGGAAAGCAGCACTGCTGGGCACCAGGTGTTCACCTCTAACATAAATTGGCTGGACCAGTTAATCTCTAATGTGCTGCCAAGATCCATATGAAGACCCCTTAGTACTGAAGTCTGCCAAGTTTGGAAAAGCATTTAGGTAGGTCTTTTACACTTCTCTAGAGCCAGTAGGGATCTTGGATGTCATCAAATTCAACTTCTTTATTTTACAGATAGAGAAATTGAGAAAAGGAATTTTCCCATATCACAGACCATTAGAAGGCTTTTTTTTCCACATTCCTCTACAATGTTTGAGCATTTCACAGAAGGGTCGGAGTACAGAAATGCAAGAATGTTGGTTTCGAGAAGCACAAATGCACTTTAATCAAGCAGAAAGACAAATAGAGATATGTGGGACCTGAAATTAATTTCAAAATTAGTATCAGTGATTACTTTTAGTCCTGTAACAAAACAGAAAGCACACCCACCTTGGAGGAGGTTTCCCTTTGGCCTCACACTGAATGACAATATTCTCCCGGGGGTCAATAATATAATCTTTTGGAGACTGTTGAGTAATGGTTGGAGGTTGTACCACTTCATTGTAGAAAGAAGAATGTAAAGAAATAAATAATTTATATCATAATAGCAATCATTTTTTCTATGTCAAAATACCTGACCCTAAACTAAATATGCTCCAAATACTTTCAGTAATTTCTGTTGTGGCTGTACATACCTCAGTAGATTTTTAACTAAAATTTTTCTAAAAATTCAAAATTGAGATACAATTTCCTTTTGGTGCCTTTATATGCACTCACAAAGCCAATTTTCCCGCACTACAAGTTTGGGAAAATAATTACTATTGTAAGTCTAATATAAAGAGAGCTTCTTTTCTGATGTAACAATGAGAAATTTCTTGGATTCCTTTGATTCAAATGAGCCTTTCAATGAAATTAAAATTATGAGCTAAATATGTAAAAGTAACTGACTTATAGTATGAGTGTGCTCATATAATTGTGTATATATAATATATATATATATAGAGAGAGAGAGAGAGGGGGGGGAGAGAGAGAGAGAGAGAGAGAAAGAGAACAAATAAATCTGAAAAACTTATTTCTAAAAGACAGAGATTTAACATGTCTTAGTAGAGCCAAGAGGTGGGTAGCTAGTAGGAACAGATAAAACCATCTTATTTAGAAGATAAGTAGAATTGGGAAGTTTTCTACTAAAGGAGACACTCTTCAAAATAGTGTCTGATCATTTATTATTAAATTGTGTGGAGAAACTGAAGAAGAACAATTTAATCGGAACGGCTGGACATGCAAGGTTCAATCATTCTAAGATCACCATGTTCTTCCTGTGAAATCAGAATCACAGAATCATAGGGTTGTACATAAGAGAAAGGGTCTCCTTTTCTTACTCGGGGCAGCAAAATGGCTTGACGAGGGAGGAAGAAGGCAAAGAAGAGAACTAAACTGCCTGGTAGAAGCCATTGCCTTGTACAACTCCAGAGAAAGCTGCCCACGTAGATGGGTAGCTCTCAACCAGGGGCAATTTGCTCCCACCCCTTAGGGGACATCTGACCGTATCTAGAAAAGATTTTGATTGTCACCACTGAGGGTGGGGGGTGGTGCTGGTGTCCAATAGGTAGAGGCTGAAGATGCTGCTAACTATCTTACAATGTACAGGACAGCTCCCCAAACACTGAACTGGGCCCAAATGTGCAGCACTGAAGCTGAGAAACCTGGCCCAGAATTGATGTGAATGGTACCCCAGAGTAGTGCAAGGCAGTAGCCCTGCTCGGGTGCTTTGCTCTGTCTGCATCATGCAACTGACCCCAAGTTTCTTTTAGACTCTCACTTCCCTTTCCTGCTCTTTCCTGCTCTGGATTAGTTAAGGGTTTCATCTTTTGGATCTTCCCTTTGCTCTTCTCCCACGTGCTTTCTTTGTGAAACCTCTTATACCTGCCAGCCAAGCCTTTTCCAAAGTTTAATATTTTCCCTCTGAGCTTGTCTTTCTTTACTCTAGTTCATTGCTGATACTAAATTTACCACTTCCATGTCCAGTGTTTTATACATCTGCAAACATGGCTTGTTCTCTTGCCTTGTCTCCAGTCTTATTGGTGTCCACCAGACATCTCTTACTAACATCCAAGTAACACCTAAAATATAGATCAAAAACTAAATACATTATTTTCATCACTTATGGTGCACCTGTCACATACAATGATATTGGACAGTAGCAACTGCCCTACTTTAGCAAGATACACCCCCACCAGTTCCCACCACATACGGAGAACCTCATCCCTGGTTCCAGCCCTGTCAGTTCCCAGTGCTAGCTGGCAGTTTGGTATAATGGTTAAGAACTAGTCTGTTTATTTTTTTTCTTACCAGCTAGAAGATTTTAGCACATTTCTTGACTTCTGTGAACCCTACTTTCGGGATTAACAAGTAGTTATCTACTACCTAACATCACTAGAAAGGTTAGCTATAAACAATTTACGTAAAATTCCTATACATTGCAATGCTACAATGGTTCACAGATGTTAGCTGTTTTTAATTATTATCATATTCATTTATATTTAGGCCACCTTCACCTCTGAGTGATCCTTTAGACTCTGGGAGTATAGAGTTTGGGGTGAAGGGAGAAAAGTCCAGAATTCCATATCCAGGTAATGGTGGACACAGGTGATGGGTGAGGGGATTCTTAGGACTGATTCAGTCTATTTCCTTCTGCTTTTCTGCAAGTGAAAGAGATGCAAGTCTGGAGGTTTCAGAGACAGAACCCAAAGTTCTCTTCTTTCATGTGTCTGCAACAGAGCACCTGCCCCTCCTAACTGCTCGGATTCACTGTACATCCACACGTCTTTGAACAGTGCTTAGGTCACCTGGCAACTAACAAATAATTTGATGTAATCTAGAACAAGGGTATTTTACACAAATTCCCTGAACAATCTAATGCCTGGAAACTGTTTTTGCTAGACAGCAGAAGCTGCCCAACTGTGAGAGGTAGCTGAAGTTTCCACTGAGAGCAAACCACTCAGAAAAGATGCGAGTGGGGCTGCTGACTTGTTTTTTGGCACACTTTAACAGTGCTCAGATCTGCTAGGCCATTACAGTGGTGACACCTAGAAACATTAGTCTGCATAGTCCGGCAGGCTGAATGGGAGTAAGACGGCATATAGCTGCCAAGCACCCACCTGCTTAAAAACACGGAAAGAGGTGTCTTCATTCCAGCAAGCATATAATAGCATTTAGTGATTCTCTCCAAATTTTGTGAATTTTCTCATTGAGTTACATCAGATGTGAATCAAGCTTAGAAGTTAGTAGAGCAGAATATTGGTAAAGAAAAAGACTAACACCCAAGTCTCCAGAATTCATGCAGGGAATATATTATATGTTCTTCTTGGAATTTAAATGTACTGTTTAGTCACAGGAATGTTACACATGCTTAAAAAGACATTAGTCACAAAACATAACATTATGCATTTAAGTCATAGTATTAATTCAAAAACAAAGACACAGTCAAATGCTCACACTGCCTAGTAAGTACAGAAAGACACTTACAGTCTTCAAGAAGTTTTGCTTTTCCCCCATCAATATCAGCAGGTGAGTGGGCAAACAGGATTAAAGAAAACCAGATGTTAGTAACAAGAATGCTAGAACCCTGAAGATAAAAGGGGCATTTTTCTATTTCATTTGCCCTAAAAATACAGTATAGCAAAGACTGAAATTGTGAAGTTGCAAGAGAATGTCCCATTATTGGTTTTGTTTATTCCTGTAGCACCTACCCCACATGAGCATATGGAAGAACAAAAGGAATGCTGTAGGCAAAAAATGATTCCTCGGGAACAGGAATGACTAATTCCATTCCATATGAGTTGTGCCGGACAAGTAATTATGTTTAATTTGAAAAACAGCTGAAATCTGCAATTAATCTGAGTTGTCACATTCTGTGTCATGTCTGATGCTATTATCCCAGACATCACGATGCCCATGGTAATAACACCTAAAATAGGACACTGCTACAATGACAAGGCTCCACACAAGGCAAGTCCAACATTGGTTTTTGGTTTTTATATTTCCACAGTTAATCCCCAAGTCAGCAATTGAATTTTTCAGACTGTTAGCATATTTCTGGTGCAAAATTCCTCAATTACCCAGGGTTGCTAGTACCCACACCAAGGAGCAGTTCATATAGAAGGGGTAAGAGGAAAAAGGGCAGGGAAGAAATTACATTAGCATGTAGTTCAAAGGATTCTGCAGTGCTGCTTGTCATTACTACTTGCAAAGGTTAATGCAGGAGTGCCTGGGTTATCCGTGACTTTCTTTTCATCATGGTTATGCCTCTTCTCCATTAGCAGCGATAATTGAGTTAGCCGTAGGTGACTGTTTTCCTCTGATTGTTAGATTGAGCAGTCAGATTAAGGGGGAATATATTTAACACAAGAGAGAACAATAACATTTCTCTCAAGTGCTTTTCTCTCTTTTGTATATCTTAAGGCAAATGCTTACGTAGACCTTTTCATTCTACTGGCTAAAGCAATCCTATTTTCTTTCTGAAAGCTGAAATTAAGGTCATTGAATATTTTTTTAAATAAGGAAATATTGTTTTTTGTGTGCTTTAGACTGGAATCAACAAAGTGTGGTGCAAACCACATCTCTTCTTAATGTCACCCTACTGGTAGTTGCAACTTCCTTAGCAAAAACTGACATCTCAACAACTGAACAGCCCAAAGAAAGTGCTATCTTCTTTGCACCTTGGAAAGCCTGCCAAACAGATGTTCTATTCAGGAAGCTAATGGATTTAAAGAGGTCATGCAGATTAGGGATAAAGGATAAATCAATTCTGAAGTACAGTAATTGTCCAGATTTGATATTCTGCTTTCCATTGCAGGAAGAAGAGACAAGTTGGAATCTAGCATTATCTTTACTTTTCACAAATGGGCCATTCAGACCTGGGCGAGCACAGCATAAGCTTTTCTATCAGCAAATAAGTGGGCTAACATAGGCAGTTACGTGGTACCTTTTAAATAGCTCTCTTGCAAGTTTATATCTTGATCTTTGTGCTTTTTAAACAAAGACCACTCAGTAGGCTTTACATGAAATACCTTTCCTAGATTCAGATACATATTTAAGATTCAAAATTTGAGAGTCAATTGCCTTGTCTGTATCACGAGAAATAAATTATGGGTATTTGGGGATACAGAGGGTTGGCTGAGAGACCATCCCCCATCATTTCAAGGGCACTCAGCTTGTGAAGGGAGAGAATGGAGAAACAAAGAGGGACCAGTGGGGAAGTCTCCCTGACTGTTGTAAAGTGGGATTCATATCGTTTTCTTGTAGGCCAGCTTTGTAAAGAGTCCCCTGTTGGGAGGATCAGGGCAGTCCACAAGTCCCTCTCAGGGAATCTTTTCCATGGTTCACAAAAGGCATCTGGTGGGAAGATAATGATAGGGAGGATAATGTGTCTGACCGTTTCAATGGACATTTTCTAGGGTGTGATGCTTTATAAACACCAGGTGCTAAAGGTAAAAACCAAATTAATTTTGATTAGCTTTTCAGTATCACACAGACACCTTCCATTCACACAGTTCGGAGTGATGGTAACTGCCAGGGAGGCTTGACTCCCGGGCCTAATAGCTTTAAAATGTTAATACTTACGATCAAGGGGTACTTCCAGTGCACTAATCATCTGGCACAGGAAAAGAACCAGGGGCACTCTGCCTGCAGATAAACACTTCTTTTTCGGCATTATTTTAAGCTGCATTAGCTTAACTCCTGCTGAGACCCACAAACTGAATTTCCTTTTCTTCTTCCACAAAAGCTTTGCGTGCAATGTTTAAATAATTTTCACACAGGGAACTGAAAAAGGACAGAATAAGAATGATAGCACATTAGAAGGGAGGAAATGAAGAGTGGAAGTCTGCAGTACAGAAAATCAGTTCTGTATTATACATGAACTCTAAATTGAAGCTGACTTTTAAATATTTAACTCTCAAGGCTGGGATAATCATTTATTCATAAATCAGCTGAAATCAGGTCAGGAATATTTGTAGTGATGTCAAGAAAATTCCACCTACTTTACCATCCTTATGATTTTTTCCATTTCAAATATCTGCATTTATATCAGAGGTTACTAGGGTCTTTCCTAATAGCTCAGGAAAACTTGACTTATAAAATGGTTAGAATGTGACTTTAATGGGGAGATGTAATGGTGTCTCCATTCTACAGATTATCTCTGGGAAAGTTCAGGCGATTATTCCAAATTTGCTTCAAACCCAAATACTGATTTACCTTGACGCTGGCAACAGACATGCCAGGGCATGGAGTTGCAGGCCTTCCTCACTGCAATTACCTTCCTGAATAGTACTGATTACTTTTTTCTACTGGGTCTTCTTTGATTAAATATTGGGAGTAGTTATATGGGTGGTCTCTACCAAATAAAGCCCAATATATCCTCAAACAGGTATTAAAAAATTCCCCATGCTCTGGCCTCAATTTAGCCTATTGACCTTATCTTTTATATCCATATAAATATTTCTTGTACTTTTCCTGCCCTTTTTTATTCTTTTACCTGGAATTCCTTCTCTATCATATTTTCTCAGCAAAGTTCAATTTATTTCTTTATAGATCATTCAAAATCAAAACAGTTGCTACAAGTCCAAGCTAGTACTCATTCCATGCCCTAAGAATTTCTGAAATTCTTTGTTTTAATCCAATATACTATGTACCTTGATACATGGATAAGTAGATGGGATTTTTTTTTTTTTTGGTATGCATGTCTTCTCCTCCTGACAAATTGTGTCACCTCCATCACCTATGTATAGTATGCCTTGCTTTGCATGGCATGCAAAACATGAAGTGTTTTCTGTACATAGGAAAGCATGGACACAAACAGAAAATAGACCTGTATCCCAGTGAAACCTCCTACTTGGAATGATAGATATAAACAAGACTTCTCATTAATGCAGAGAGGTGCAGGTGATCAATGGCTCTCTCAAGAAGGTGGCAGGATGCTATTACTACAAATACAGGTAGCTCCCACAGATTGATCACTAAATTATTTGTGTAAATTTTATCATTTGTGTGTTTCTCACTAAATGAAAATATCCTCAGGGTAAGGGCTGTGTTTTTCATTTTCCTCAGTGTGTCCTCAGAGTCCATCATGGTGCCTGGCACATGGTAGGGAATAAATAAATATTGGTAGGGGAAAAAATGAAGTGAGGGAAGGGAAAAGAAATGGAGACTTAAAATCTTTGAGGATGTAGGGACCTCCCCAGTGGTGCAGCGGTTGAGCGCTGGGTTGTGAAGCTGCCCGTAGCCTCTGCAGTGCTGGTTCAATCCCCGGCTGCTCCCCGGCCACTGGAGGAGGGGCCCACATGGCGCTAAGACCTCTCCTGCCACCCGCTGCTCCCCTCAGCAGTGTACTTGGGTCCTTCTGCCTGCTCTGCTCCCCGCTCTGGCTCTGGTGAATTCTCTCACCCTCCTGCGCTTCTAACTATACCCAGTGCTTGTATAAATAAAATAAAAAAATAAATCTATCTTTTAAAAAAAAATCTTTGAGGATGTAGATGCATTCAGATAGGCATAGTCTATTTTAAGACTATTTATAGTAGACTTGGTTCAAAAAAGCTAACTCTAATCAGTAGGGTTAAATTAGTTGTAATATCTGTAAGTGGATTAGAATTTAAATATATAAAAGGAAAATGAAACAATGCTGCTAATGTGTTTCACTAACAATTAAGTGCTGATTTAAACCCGATTAAAGCTGTAATTGGACAATTACTGCTAAACAAATATAAAGAAAGGACTCAGTATGTTAAACATAGACCTTATAGGCATATAAATTTATTGTTTTGCAAATGAAACATCCATACTACATGGTTTCATTTAAGAGGCAGGAAATTTGTCCCTCTATATTTTAACACATAAACTATCATGTCCATTAAACATGGAGGGGCAGGTATAGAAGCACATAAAATTTCTAACTAAAATGTAAATCAGACTGACTTTGAGTACAAAACATACCTACACCATTTAATTAAATTTACTTGGGTCTCTCATGATTTCTCTGTTGAGAAGTCTAAATTCTGAATTTACAAATAAACTTCAGAGAAAATAAAAACAAATGACATTGAAACAAGTTGATGTTACATACCACAAATCATTGAGATGTTATACCCTACAGCCACAATCATTGAGAAAACAAATGGCTGTTTGACTGTTCTATGTGTCAAGCTAACTGAGTTTATTTGATTTAAGTGCCTAGCTCTCTGAATAGGTACTTGAGAACTAATAAACTTTCTAAAACATATACTAATAAATTGTAATGTCTATAAGATCTTAAACACACACATACAATTTCTGTTAGCTCTTCATTTATTATTTGTTTTGCCTGGATGCCTCAACTATTTAAAATAGAGAAAGCTGTTGAACAACTTCATGTACAAGAAAGCACCATTCAACTTGCTTACCTTTTCAGAGTATAAGGAATAAAATACTACACATTTTAGCAGTGTTTGATGTAGATAAAAATTAAAGATTTGAAGAAAAATTGAGAAAGCCCTTACTTAATGAGACACAAGTAAATCTTCAAAGTGAGCAGAGGTCATGAACTACAATTGAAGATGTAGCCTCTCCTCAGAAATTGTAAGCTAGCTGCTACAAAACTGTCTCTAGCATGGGTTCTGTTTGCGAGGACAAAACCAAGGTCCAGCCTATCCTCGAATCCTGCCTGTGGAAAATCACCCTCTCCTCCTTCGTGTGCCATCACAGGTGAACCACCCAATACAGCATCAGATCCCTGTACCAAGTCCAACTGGAAGATCCAATACAGCTACAGAAAACTGAGCTTTCTTTCAGGAAGAGCAATGTGTTCTGCACATCTCACAAAGAAAAACCACCGCTGCACTCAGTATCGAATGAACATCCTGCCTTGCAGTTTACCTTCGAAAATGGTGGTCATTCACTTGTAAGAGAGGATCATGACTAAGCTAAAAGTGTTTATGCAATTACACTTAAACGAATAAAGCCCCAAGTTGAAGTAACAGCATCACAATTAGGCAAGGCTAAAAAGCATGTTAGTGCAATATGGTTTGTAGTTTGCAAAAATATTTGCCACAGCCATTTCAAAGCAGGTTTGAGCAAGACAGATAGCAGCTTCACCTTTCCAATATGAATCACCCCGGTATCCAAAAGTACACATACTGTTAGAATGACTCAGAGCAGTGAGACACTATAAAGTCTTTTAATATTTTAGTTCATTTAACTCCATCCAAAACAACTTTTCAAATATTCCAACAGCATCTCTGAAACAGGAAAGGAAAAATTCAAGGCTCCTTCACTTTCGTTTTTGGCCTAAAATTGATTTTAATCATAGAGCAAACATTTCCCTGCATTATTTACCATATTATTTCAAAGCAAAATCTAAAATTTGAAAAAAGATTTACATTAACTCTGAGAAATTAAGCTCTCTGATGACTTACTTTAAAATTCTTCTCATTAGAAAGAATATAAAATCTATGTTTTACTCTCAAGTAAAAGATGAAATTATTTTAATTTAAAAATTTTTATCAGCTCTGCCAGAACTGGAAGGTCATGCATTACTTACCACCTGATTCTACTCTGTGCTTTTTGGCATCCCAGCTCAAGTGGTCCTTTGCTGATGGCACAATGTAACATGATCTACTCTCTAAGTCATTAAACAAATATGCTTATGTGTCTGGATGCCCTTTGACACACTAATTACTGCTCAGTGGACCCATGTGGCTAGCCTCACTGACTGATAGCTAACCCGGCATAAAAACCACCTTGGCTGCGAAAGGGGTTTTTCAACTCAGCGATGGTCACTTTTTATAGTTTTTAAAATATCTATCATAAAGTTTAAGAATATTAATTAATTTCTTGTCCATGCCTGTGTTTTTCAACCACAAAACTTGAGTCTGAGACTCCAGGAAGAAGGTTTAAAAGAAATGGAGACTGGATTTCAACACCATCACAGCTGATGCAAACACACAACTCCAGCAAGCAGCAACAACTGCAGAAAAATGTAGTCTGGGGTATGTGACTGTAAAGATTTTAACAATCTCTTCAAATAACAAGGCAAACTTTATGATTTATCTTGGTTCAAAGAAGTTCTATACCAGGGTTTCTCTAAGGAATCTTGGAGTCAGAACTTGTAATAGAACCTCGGGAATGGTAACTAACCTGTGGCTTTTACCTAAATAACAGATAATAGCTCAAATGTTAGCACATTGATAATAGCTCAAATCTCCATTCCTCATAGACAATAACCGGTTATCTTATTTGAGATTCATAAAAATCCAAGAAAACAGGAAAAAAGGTATTACATCTATTTAACAGATGAGGAAAAAAATCATTAATACTGTTCATTGAGTACCTACATGTGCCAGGGATCCTAGTGAGTTTCCTCCATGCATTAACTTAGGTCATCTGTCTTATTATTAATCTTAAAAGGTAAATTCTATTACATTTCCAAATTCACTTATAAGGAATCCAAGATGCAGGATGGCAGTCACTGGCTCAAAGACAGATTGACAGCCCCAGTTAAGAAAAGTGTTGCACTTCTGGTCTCCTCACACTGCCTCCATATGACATCTCCTCATTTTGCACTTAGCCAATAAGCAAACAGAATTACCAAATTCAGTCCCTGATATTAAAAAAGTGAGAAGCTAATGTGTTCTAAAATGTCTGCAGAAGGTCCTGACAGTGTTGCCCACAGTACAATTTCAAGGGCCTGTTCACGTTGGGTTCCATGTGAGTGGTGCCAGCCTAAAATGTACCACATGCTGGCCCTGGCCTCGCAAAGGAACTGCCAATTAGGTCAGTGTAGACAAGACATA